AGGAGAGATACGTCTACCGGACCTTAGAATGGCCGGACTCGACGTATATGAGAGGAGACAGAGTCAGGAACGATCCGAAGTCAAGGGCACAGAGAGACAGCGTAAACTAGGACTAGCCGGGGTCTGGTACACAGTAAACAGCAAGCCGACAACCAGAACAGATAAGGATAAAGAGAAAACGTAGTCAGAAACAAAGCCAAAGTCAATACGAAGAAAACACAACTGAACACAACAAGCGCTAAAGGGAACTGAAACAGAAACCACGATAGGGCAGGGAGTAAAGGGAGAGGTAAGTTTAAATAGCTTCTAAACTAATGTGATTGGCTCCTGTCATATCCACACCCCCAAAAGGTAAGTGTATGGGGAGTGTGGCATGACAGGGGCCAATGGGAGCCATTTAACAATTTAGGCTCCCACTGTCTCTTTAAGAGCGCGCTTGAGACTCGCGGCGCGCTCTTAGATTCAGGCGGGACACGTGACCGCTTCTCGCGGTCACTGCCCGCCTTCCTATTGAAGCCGACGGATGAGCCGTGCGCGGCTTGTGCAGCAGCAGGACCGCGCACGGCTCGAAGAGAGGACCGCGGCCGGCCCCTGGATAAGGTAAGTAACGCTACAATTCCCCTAGCAGGACATCTAGGGGTTAAAAAGACAAGGGACCGGTTGACCCAAACATTCTTCTGGCCTAGGGTCACACAAGATCTTAAATATTATTGTAGAACGTGTGACATATGTCAAAAGATAGGGAAAAGAGGTGACCACCAGAAAGCCATTCTCCACCCTTTACCCATTATAGAAGAGCCGTTTCACCGAGTAGCGGTAGACTTAATAGGACCCCTCAGCCGCCCCAGTCAGTCCGAAAAAAAGTTCATCCTCACTGTAGTGGACTACGCCACTAGGTACCCCGAAGCAGTAGCCCTCGCGAACATAGAGGCAGAGGCCCTAGTCAAAATATTTTCCTGGGTAGGTTTTCCCCAGGAGATCCTGTCCGATCGGGGGACTCAGTTCACAGCAATCCTGACACAGCAATTGTGGCAGAGCTGTGGAGTGAAATCCCTATTTAGCGCCCCCATCACCCCCAGACCAATGGACTCTGTGAACGTTTCAATGGCACGCTCAAGCAGATGCTAAAGACCTTTGCAGAGTCCTGCAGGAATTGGGAAAAATATCTTCCCCATCTTCTGTTTGCCTACCTCGAAGTGCCCCAGGCATCCGCTGGGTTTTCCCCCTTTGAACTCCTGTTCGGGAGAAAAGTTTGGGGCCTACTAGATCTCGTACGAGAGCACTGGGTGGGCAACACAGATGAGGGGGGGTTCCTATCGTCCAGTATGTTCTTGAGTTCCGGGACCGACTGCGGGCTCTCACTGAATCTGTTCGGGAGAACCTGGGGGCGGCCCAGGAAAGCCAGAAGAAGTGGTACAATAGGGGCGCCAGAGATAGGGTACTAGAAATAGAACAGAAAGTGTTAACCCTAAGACCCGCGAAGAAAGACAAGCTGCAGGCGGCCTGGCAGGGACCCTTTAAGGTGGTAGAGCGTATAAGCGATACCACCTATATTGTGAGCAAATGTTCGGATGAAAGGTTGACCAAAGCTTTTCATGTAAATATGTTCAAACCCTGTTACGAAAGAACGGAAGATGTGGGCGCAATATGTGTCCCCTCGTCGGAAGATAGTGAGGGACTGCCCCTCCCTGATTTATTAGACACCTCCCCGTGTACTATTGGCCAGGTAAGCTTGGGTCAGAACCTTAACCCCTTAGAGAAAGGTGAGGCTTCTCAACTGCTTCAGGGATACCAAAAATGTTTTCAGCCATACCAGGTACACCGTGTAGAAACCCAGCGAGAAACGCCGTTACGGCAACAACCATATCGTATCCCTGAGGCAGTACGTGAAAATATGCTCGCCAAAATAAGGGATATGCTCAAGTTAGGGGTTATAGAACCCTCCCTTCGCAGGTAGTACTAGTACCGAAGCGCAACAGCACCACGCGCTTCTGTGTAGACTATCGGAGGCTCAACGATCGCACCATAACTGACGCCTACCCTATGCCCAGAATAGATGAGTTATTAGACCGTATGGCTGGGGGGAATTACTTGACTACCCTGGACTTGTGCAATGGGTATTGGCAGATCCCCTTGGAGCCTGCGCCCATCACTCCATTTGGGCTATACCAGTTCAAGGTTATGCCCTTTGGGATGAAAAATGCCCCGGCTACTTTTCAGAGGTTGGCCGATAGGCTCCTAGAGGGGTTCCAGGACTTCGCATGTGCGTATCTAGACGATATTGTCGTCTACAGCCACACGTGGAAGGACCACCTGGGGCACGTGTCCAGGGTACTCAAACGAATTCACCTTGCAGGTCTCACATTGAAACCTGACAAATCCAATGTAGCCATGGCCGAGGTACAGTATCTCGGCCACAGGGTAGGTTCTGGTAGGCAGCGGCCAGAGCCTGCTAAAGTACAGACCATAGCTAATTGGCCCCAACCCCGTACCAAAACCCAGGTATTATCCTTTTTAGGGACGGCCGGCTACTACCGAAAATTTGTCCTAGCGTATAGTGCCCTGGCGAAGCCTCTCACCGACCTTACCAAAAAGGCCCTACCAAAACAAGTAACCTGGACCCCAGAGTGCGCGGACACTTTCCAGAGACTTAAAGCGGCATTAAGTGAGGCTCCTGTGTTGGCAGCACCCGACCACACTAAACAATTTCTTGTCCACACAGATGCCTCCATGTTTGGATTGGGAGCCGTGTTGAGCCAAGTGGGGGACGACGGCATGGAACACCCGGTGGCCTACCTCAGCCGTAAACTTTTGCCCAGAGAGGTCAGCTATGCCACCGTGGAGAAAGAGTGCCTAGCCCTAGTTTGAGCACTCAAGAAACTTCATCCCTATCTGTATGGCCGGCCATTTACTCTTATGACCGACCACAACCCCCTTGTGTGGCTAAACTGGGTGGCTGGTGACAACCCCAGGCTATTACGGTGGAGCCTAGCCCTTCAGCCCTACAACTTTACAATGCAATACCGTCCGGGCAAACAAAACGGAAATGCGAACGGTCTGTCCCGACAGACCGAACTGGACGCTTAAAAGACATTTCTCGGACATCCCCAAGCCAACCCGACAGTGCCTAGGCGGGTATGCCGACCTATGGACTTATAGGGGAGCAGTGTGAAGAAATCCCCCTTTCATTACACTATTTTCTGCCTATTGCATTCGGTAGATGTAACTACCGAACAAAGACCACCCCCTGGCTTGTTAAACATCAAAGACTGCTTCAATTGATGCCTCTGTCTGTGCGGCCAGCGTTCGCACTGCCGAACACCACGTGGCAGAGAAAACCGCTGCCATCTTTGTTCATGCGAACAAAGGCAGCGGGACTTGTTTGTCGAGTGTATGGAACTGAAATCGGACACTCGACTTCCCAAACACCGGTCTCAAACAGACGAACGCTGGAACTCTACTTACCGAATAGCTAGAAGAGCGCTATTCGGTACTTTGGTGCATTTGACAGAGGGGAACGATCGCTGCTAAGAGCCAGGGAGATCCATTCGGTACTTTGTTCGCTTTTCTCCTTTTTCTAAAGTGACCGGCAAAACCCACCAATCTCATGGAACTGTTTTGGGCATACAGCCCAGGGTGAGCTGGTCACAGAAGACCTCTGTAGTTTTTGAGAACCCCTTATTTGTGGGGATACTCCAAGTATAAAGGGTTGTCCCAGTTATTGGGTAAAAATTAGATTTTTCTGCCTGGAAATAATCAAGTTATTATTTTATCCGACTTAATTATCTCCAGCGCTAGGGGAGGGAACTGTGGGTGTGTGTTATGTTTTTACAGTACGTGATTGGTTAATCTTTGTCCCTCCCTAAGGGGACTTGCATAAAAGCTGTCTGTATCCATTAAAAGCCAGTTCATTTTGTACCCTTCTTCTTGACTTCGGCTGATGTTTGGGGATTTGTGTGTTTCTCTAAGGGAATCATCTCGTGAAGCTATTGGGATTGCTATATGGTTCGTCTACTTTATCTACCGAACAGAGGGCTATAATCACTAAGGCTCTGGCGGTTCGGGAGGAAACTACCGAATGAGGTTTAAATACACTTGGTTTCCTTACACAGCTATATTACAAACATTTTGCTAATATGACGGGTACAATTTATGGAAATGGGCTGCCAAGCAGTACACAAGTAAAACAGTCTGTCATTCACCTTTGTTATACCATAGAAAACGACGATAATCCCCATTTACTCACAATTTTAAACAACACTGCTGTATTGGGGAGTATGCCTGCTAAAGATTTATTTGATATGTTGAATGGTCCTGATTCCAATTCAAATATGGTATTCCTATTATACTCTATGGGCATTCCATTTTGCTCCAGTATTGTCTATGGGCATTCCACTGCCCTAATACAGTCTATTGGCCTTCCATTTTGTCATTTCTTTTTGTAGTTCCCCCTCCTCTGTATCTCTAGAGTGCAGGCAGTGTTGTCAGGAAGACGCAGCACAGGGATGCCTATTAGACTACATGCAGTATAATTCTCTGTATCATTATGCTGCACACAATTGTCGGTGGGGATATGTTGTGTGTATGTGTATATATTTTGTGGCAATGTAACACACCTGTACATATTGAACCTAAGCATACCACAGCTGTATCCTGACACAACTGCACACACCACCCCAGTGCAATGGCCTGGATCATTACAAGAAATATATGCAGTATGTCAAGATTCAATAGGGAGATGCTGAGCACCGTGTTGCTAGGAAGACATTTGCTCTCTCTCCCTCTCATATAAAACTCCATTCTTACATCCCCTCCTCTTGTCTGCCATTTACATGTTCTGTCTCCTCTTTATAGTCATCCCTCTCCTCCACAATTTCCTGTCTCTGTCTCTCCCAAATCTCAGTCTCCTGTATCCTTTTTTTTTTATCCTCCCCTTCCCACTTGTGTCTTCCTGTCACCCACCCCCCCCTCTCCATTTGTCTTCTGGAAATCTCACCTCCCCACACTCTGGCAAACACCCCCTTCCTCATTTCTCTTTTTTTTCTATATATTTCCCCTGCCTCTATATTCTCTCCTTTCTGAAATATCCCCTCCCTGTCTCTGCCTCAGTCCTCCTCTTACTCACCCTCCCTATCGCTTTCTCTCCTCCTCTCCCTGCTTCCCATACACACACACTCAGTCCTGGATATGTCTGAGGAATGAGTGCAGGGTGATTGGGGGGGGAATCAGTGTATTTGGTGGGGGGTCACACCAATGGTTCAACAGAACAGAATGGCAAGGACTCCTTCCAGCTCCACACAGGAGATCCAAATGGATGTTTTGGAAGGGCACAGTCTGCAGGTGAGAGACACTTCTAGTAACAGTACATATAATGCTTGTGTGTTCTTTTATAGAATCCTGCTATATCCCTGTATAGGGTGACATGGGAAAACAGCCAGTGTAAATGGATGAATGGATGGATAGATAGAAAGAAAAATAAATAATTGTGATTATATAGAATGGAAGGCAGCTATAAAGGAAAAGGAATGTAGTAGAGAAGAGAGATGCAGACTGGGGTATAGAGAGAGACAGCTGGTATAAGTGAGCAGGTAAACACAGGGAGGTATGGGGGATGGGAGAGTAGCAGGATCTTAGCCCTCTAGGAGTGATAGGGTTAATTCAGAAGCACTGTAAAAGTCTGCAGCAAAAAAACAGTCCTGGGGACAGTTTAAAGGGACCACCGTGGGTGGGGAAAATCTGTGTGCTAAAAATATCTGATATGCCACTATTTCCATTGTGCCTGGTATAAATAGAGGAGAAATACAGTAAGTTGCAAGAAGAGATAATACTAATATGAGGCGTTATAAGATAAAGCAATAAGGATCATTTACAGATTTTGAATAGCAACTGGATGAATAATTGTGACGAGAATATATAGAGAGCAACGGAAACATTTTTTTGGGAGTGCTTCTGGCCAACCCTTCCTTGGCACTCGAGCTGTAAATTTCCCATGATCCTCAGGCAGCTGTTCAACATTGGGAATGTAGTCCACAACAGCTCGAGAGCCAACAATTTGTCGTCACTTTGTTATGGGAACCAATCGGAGTTGTTATACGGAATGGCCATAGAACAATAGGAGGAGTTAAGACAAATTACCTGTGCCATCATTAGATTTGTAAGCAGCACTGCCATGGAAGGAATGGGCCTATCATTTTAAAGACTTACAACGTTATTCCCTAAAGTGCGAATTTATGGTATTAAGCCAAAATAGCCATTTACGAAACAAATCTCCCATGTCACTCGTGATTCCAGTTCAACTATTTTAGCCAAAATGTTGATATTCACTTTGAAATCCCGTGAATTCACACGTTAGTGAGAACCATGTAAAAGGGAAGAAAACAAAAACATGTAAAGGGGGTTATAAAAGTAGACAGTAAAAGAACATTTTATTAGTTTCCATGGTAATTATTCCACTTTTAGAACTTGGCCTGTAACTGTCTTTTATGTTAAACCCCCAAATGTGGGTAATAGCCAGTTGGAAAAGAAACGCCCCATCCCAGTTTCTACTCAGAGCTGTATTTGGTCAACCTGTGGTCCCAATAGGAGCCTGACAGGATGTGGCATATCTGTAAGTAAATAAAGGTTACAGAAATTGTGACATATTATAAGGAGGACAAAGAACACCTACAGGATGTGTTAAATGGACCCAAGAGGAGAAGTAATTGAAATGGTTTATACAGAGCAGTAGAAAAATTAATTGGAGCCGTGAAAGGACTTTTGAGGGACATATTTAAAATTAGGACCCTAGCTAGTGGAGGCATTGTTCACCATGAACTTGGCTATAGTAAATTGTGGAAGTCACTTCTCACATTGGTACCCCTTACCATATACTGTGGGTTGCTTACCCTACCAATATTGGGGAGGCCAAAAGGAGTGGTGACAATGGGCATGTGCAGCTGTGAAATTGGCTAGCCTGCCAGAAATTGAATATTTCAGCCTGTGTTCCCAGTTGTACTAAGGGCAAAACAAGGCAAGTATAAGAACAGTGCTGCTTCCCCAGGATATATTTACTAAACAGTTGAATAAAGAAACACATGTCTTCAAGTCATAAGTGCAGTATCCCAAGTTATCCCACTCAGAGAAGACCATGTTTATACCTGAAGCACACTGATCTGAGAATGGGCTTAATGCCCGGACAGCACTTTGTGAAACTCAAGTGTGTCTAATGATGTACTCACGCTGCTCTGATTGGAAACAGCAGTGGGGTTCTAACCCAATGATGTTAGGAGCGGTCCGGCCCAGGTGGCAGGTAGGGTGCACAGAGAACCCCCTCTCACCAGAGCAGGCACCTGCCTACTAGCAACAATACCACGTGACAAGTAGCTGCTTTGCTGGTTTAGAGCTTGAGTAGAGTATGGAGCAGGCCGCTCAGCGGGCGCCATGGTAGTTGCTGGGATCAGTCTATGCACTTGCTGTACAGATCCTGTACTAATGCCGTGAGCCAGGATGGAACATCACCCCAGCCTTGGCATCAGTACAGAACTGCAGGAGCTTTGCAATCAGTGTACAGACTGATCCCAGCAGTGTGAGTATGAATGTATGTAAATATAGTTCCTTGACAAAAGGATGTGGGGGGGATCAAGATACATTTCTGGTCTGGGTGCCAGACAACCGACGTACGCCCTTGGGAGACATTTCCATGGTGCCTCTTGATGCTAGAGAGCAGGAAACAAGCTCATTATAGGAGCACAGGAACCTGAATTCATGATGATAACACCAAACCTGGGACAAATGGGAGAAATAGGGTTGGCAACTTCTGGTCTTGGCGGCAAGTACAAGCAAATTGCCTTTTTTCCCACTATAAACAAACAGATTCTATATTAAGGTGGGCCAGTCTAGGGTTGTATAGCATTGAGTTCAAGGTCTCAAGAAAATTAGAAGCTCACGCAGTAATAGGCTAGTAAAGGCCCTGCACAATTCCTGCCTGCTTTCTTACTATTGTAGGACCCTGCTTGTTATGTCCGTGGCTTGGGGGGGCGGGGGGGGGGCTAAACATGTCTTAAATATCTTAACCATGGTGACCAAGTGTTACACAGTACTTCATTCAGCTAGACCCTGTCATCTGCATCCAATTTTAAAACCAAAATACTCAGTACAACAGAATATGGTATCGGATGTCAATATTTTGACAATCCGTCAGGATTTCAGAGGAAGTAAATGAGAAATTATAGTTTTTGTCATGTAATATTGAGATATTGAGATAAGATGTAGCTTATCGAGAGCAATTACCATAATTACTATAAAAATGCATGTCTGACCAGATATATATTAGATTTCTTCCTAAATGTGTTAATTCACTGTTATTTGCCACATTCTTTTTAATTTTCAGGCCAAATATGCAAAGAGAAAGAGTCGTTTTAAACGTTCAGATGGCAGCACAAGCTCGGACACTACCTCTAACAGCTTTGTGAGACAGGTAGGTCATACTCGGCACTGTTTTACACTTTGGCCTGGTGTGTGAAGCAGAACAGACAGGCAGGCAGGCATCGCTAGGCCCCAGCCCTGGTTTCTATGACAACCAGCATCAGGGAAGAGATGCTCCTACGTCAAGAGATGGAAATGACAAACTCTAATTAACTGGAAGAGAGGGAGAGAGTAGAGATGGTGAAGAAGAATAGAAAGGCAGAAAATGACAAAAACAATGCAAACAGAAAAAAATATTATTTTGCAGCAGAGTGATAAGAAATGAGAACATTTAAGAGTAATATAAGCTTTGTCCTGCATACTGTTGTATACATACTTGCACTATATGTGTAGCAGTGTGTGTTTGCTTGTTGAGTCTGCCTGTAATGTATGCAATGGTAAAGCATTATTATTTTTTAATTTCCATTTGCCACACAAGTGGTTGTAGTGTATTGTCACACTGTTTTATCCTGAGCTGCATTTGCTCCCTGTGTGCACTATATTTTGGTTTTGGAATTGTGTAACAGTGAGAACTGCACTGCAGTACCCAGTGTTCTGTTTTTTCACTGTATAAATCATTGTGTTGTAACACACGTTTTCAATTGTCATTACTTGTGTACATGCTATGGTATAATAATGCGTGGGTGGGTGCTTACTCCTGGGGTCTTGTTCTGTTTATTTATCTGTGCTTGTGTATTTCGAGGATAAATAGTGTAATATACACCATTTCACATTTACTGCGACTCTCATGATTCTGAGCCTGGATCATAGCTTGCTGTAAGACCATCTGCATAGCAGCCGCAGTCAACAGACACAGGCTTTCAGGAGGCTGGATATCGGTGGTTTGGGGGCAGATGTCCTGGTTTGAGGGCTGGAAAAGAATTGTTAAATAAATCAATAAAGTAAATTGCAGTGGTGGCTGCTTAATTGGTAAAGAGGTGGAGTCCAGGACAAGTTTTGGGCTCGTAACCATCTGCTCCCTGTGTCGCTTGTACAATACTTGTTACTGTATATTATGTACCTATTGTTGCAAAGTGTGTTAAAGGAAAACTTCAACCTTCCAACCTCTGATCTCTAATTATTTTTTTTGGGGTGCCCCAGGTAGACGTTATCATACTAACTCCTCCCCTTTACAGATGTCCAGACATGCATGTTTCTATGGCATTGACTCCATCTCTGCATTACAGGCTGTAGTGGGTGATTGTGGCAATAGTAGGGGACTTGGTCAGTAGTGTGGGATTAGGTGCTGTAGTGTGGGTTTTGTGCTGTAGTGGGAGATAGGGGCTATAGTGGGGGATCGGAGGTGTAGTGGGAAATAGGAGCTTTCGTGGGGTATAAAGGCTGTAGTGGGAGTTATGGGCTGAAGTGGTGAATTAGTAGATGTTTTGTTGGTTTGGGGTAGTAGTAGTGGGGTATAAAGGCAGTAAAGAGGAGTTAGTGAGGCGTAAGAGCTAAAGTGGGGTTAGAAGATGTAATGGAGGAAGGGAAAATACAGTAGTGGGGGGTTGGGGGATTTAGTGGGGGTTAGGGGTGTACTGTGGGACAAGAGGCAGTAGTAGGGTGGTTATGGAATGTTGTGGGAGTTCAAGGGTGTCTTGAGGGGAAGATAAGTGACTTAAATAAAGCACTCTCAATGACTGGCGCTTGCTTGGCAGAGGCTCAGCCCAGCCTCAACTCATGTTCATAGCTGTGTTGTGTGTGAATCAGGGATATAACATGTGTTATGTCCTGCCCTCCCCCCTCCCCATGCTGCTTGGCCACGCTACAGTAAGGAGAAGAGCAGAGACAGTGGCATGCTGGGTTTATTATTTGCCCCGAGCTCCCTGGAAAGGCACAGAACTCATAATAATAAATGACATAGATTAGAAGTTATTCTGGACCCATTCGGAGCTTTAACTCGGGTCAGCTCCCATTGTGGACACACCTGGCGCCACCCTTTCTGCCTTGGCGCCTGGGTGCGGTGCACCTTGTGCACTCGCCCAAGATCAGCCCAGCAGTGTTTGAAAAGTAGAATAGCAGTGAAGTCTCATTTATTTTGTTTTGGTTTTGTATGTCTGCATAGTCTAAATCATTATAGTAACATGGAGTGTGTTTATATGTCACCCTTTGTTCTGTACTTTCTCTGCTTCAGCTGGTCATATCAATATATGAATGGCTTACGTCAGAGATCAATCTTGGCACTCTGTTACGCGTGTTGTAACTGATTGGTCCTCAGGGTTGTAATATGATGCTGCATGCTTTGCTTTTCACTCAGGCTTGCCACACACGGTCAATAATACTCTGCTTTTTCATAAGCCCAGAATTGTGTTTATTGAAACGTTAGAATGAAGCACTAGACAGTGTTCTGTTGATGTGTGCATAAATGACAGTGATTTATATGGCAGCAGCACTGTAAAATAGGTAAACAAGACACAAACAAAACATTTCATTCTAACAAAAAATGTAGCACATACGGGAACAGTAGTTAAAGAGGGCCCTGCCCTAATGAGCTTACAATCTAAAGACTCAGTTCCATGCTATTAAGTGCGCTATTGCTCTCAATGACTATTTAGCGATTTTGAGGTAAAGGGCCCCACTGCATCATCCATTATCCATCAGTGTTTTTGCGTCATCATATTCCAGTTTTGGACGGCCATACTGCAGTGTCATTAAAGCAAGTACTCTAGTGAATATTAAAACTGGCAAATTTCAATGGATTTGTTGAATTTTTTGACTGTTCGTACAAATGCTTTGTACTTAGGGTTCTGTGAGAATCAAAGTTTTACCACTGACAAGGACTAGCTGATTAATTTATTTTTTTCCCCGGAATTGTTCTTTTTTTCAAAATGTCTACTTAGGTTCATATCTACTTTCATGCATGTGTTATATGCGTTTACATTTAAAGGTACAGTACAGATTGTTGGAAATAAGTCAGTAGAGAAGTATTTAAGTGTAGAAAATACACCTCATGATTTTTAAATGGTTTCATAAGATTATTGTTAAGAGGGGGAGAAGGATGTGCCCTAATGTCTTTGTATGAGAAAGTAAATAATAAATCTGTGGACATTTAAAAAAAAAAAAAAAAATGTAAATCTACTTGTTCAAGACTAAAGTGGCTTCCCAATCTACTTGTCCTGACACAAATTGATTTAAAATTAGAAAGTTTCGGGGCCCTGCTTAGACATGGGCATTGGCAGGGTTATTCACTAAACTCTGAATGAAAAAAACAAAGGCAGAAAAGGCTGATCTGGAAAAAATCTAAAATTTAGCAATAGTCACAACTGGCTATCCTCATCAGCCTATTGTTACTCTAACATTTTATAATGCTCTCATATATTGTTAAATTTCCCAAATTTCATAATATTTTAAAGTGCTGAAGAATACGTTGGCGCTGTATAAATGCCAATAATAATAATAATAATAATTTTGACTTGGTTTTGCCTTTTGGATTTATTTAGAAAAAAATTGTAATTTAGTGCCTCGTCCTCTGTCAACGACCATGGGATATGGTGGCTAGGTGTAATGAGTTTGTAGAGATTGTTGACTACGTGTAATGTGTGTGTGCTGGTTGTATATAATGTGTGTGTATATATATGCTGCTCTATGTAATGAGTGTGGTGTGTGCTCGCTATTTGCAATCTGGGTGATGTGTCCTGGCTGTACGTAATGTGTGTGCTGTGTGCTGGCTCCCATGTAATGTTTGTGTGGTGTGTGCTGGCTGTATGTCAGCCTGTTCAGCATTGGCCCCCGCATCTGGTTCATACATTGCAAGATAAAACTTACAAGGAAAGGTTAAAGGAACTTAACATGTATAACTTGGAGGAAAGGCGAGACAGGGGGGATATGATAGAAACACTTAAATACATAAAGGGAATCAACACAGTAAAGGAGGAGACTATATTTAAAAGAAGAAAAACTACCACACCAAGAGGACATAGTCCTAAATTAGAGGGGCAAAGGTTTAAAAATAATATCAGGAAGTATTACTTTACTGAGAGGGTAGTGGATGCATGGCATAGCCTTCCAGCTGAAGTGGTAGAGGTTAACACAGTGAAGGAGTTAAAGCATGTGTGGGATAGGCATAAGGCTATCCTAGATATAAGAAAAGGTCAGGGACTAATTAAAGTATTAGAAAATTGGGCATACTAGATGGGCTGAATGGTTCTTATCTGCCGTCACATTCTATGTTTTTTTGCGGAATGGAAGCTTTAATCTTCCTGCTCTGTTCCCTCACACGCAGGAAGCCAGGAATATGATGTCCCTCCCCGGCATCACTAAACAGAACATGAAGATTACAGTTTCACAGTAGCTCTACTGGACCCCAGGGAAAGTATCCACTCAAGCTCTCCCAAAGATTGGGAGGCTGAGTGGACCTAAATTAGAAAAAAAAAAATAATAATAATGATAATGTGAGAGAATGTGTCTGTCTGTCAGGGAGTGTGTATGGCATTCTGTCAGTGTGTGTGTCTATCAGTGAGTGAATGTGTGCCTGTCAGTGAATGTGTGTGTCTGTCTGAGTGTGTCTGTCTTTCTGTCTGTCATTGAGTGTGTGTGTGTGTGTCTGTCAGTGAGTTTTTATGTTTAGTTTACTGGCCCCTCTCCAAGCACATGGGAAAGGTTTTTACTCACCTTTTTTCACACACTGTGCCAGTCGCGCCTCCATATCTTAAATAATCAATCTTGATGTTCTCAGCAAATCCAATGCTTTCACATATAAAAGCATTAGGAGGCTATTGTACATGCTCGGCAAAACACTGCACCAATCAGCATCTCCTAATAGAGATGCATTAAATCAATGCATCTCTATGGGAAACGTTCAGCTTCTCCATGCTGAGTGTGGAGACTGCAGTAGGAAGCACCTGCAGTAGCCATATGCCACTGGACTGCCACTAGAGGTGTTACTAGACAGCAATGTAAACACTACCTTTTCTCTGCAATTGAACTTTCTGCACTGAAAATGCTTTAGAGATTGTGAGAACAGTCTTTTTGATGCTTTTCTGACTGTTCTGTGACCAGGTCCATAGTCTGTAGGTAGGAGGCTGGTCTCCAGTAATGTAGGCTCCATCACATTTCTCCCCTCCCAACAGTAGACTATCCAAGTACCAGACTTTCAATCGGTTTGTGCCTGAGTTAGTCTGAAAACAAGTCCAAAAAAGTCTGTCCAGTCTGACAGTCCCTAGAATGCAGCTCCCCAACACAGATCCACTCATGGCCATCACAGTTCCCCCTTCCCAGTGACAAAGGTGCCATCAGGCACTCATTGAGTCCTCTCCAGACAGGGCCCCGGGAAATCTGAGCCCCAAAACCTTGTTTCCCAACAGAACTTCCACATTCAGCCCATCCCCAAATAGCTAATTTCCTCAGCTACTCATTGTCCAAAGAGTGACCTGATTCCACATACCGTGTACAACAGGCTAGGACTTCCATCTGTTCTTTACCAGGGTGCTACCGCAACCGGGTGGCCGGTATCCTGTGCACTCGGGTAGGCTGCATCTGCTGGGGAAGGGGGGGGGGTGAAGACTTCAGGGATGGTGAGAAAAATCTTTGTGTTGCTTTTCAGGGTGTTCTGTGAGAGTGGGCTGGCTTCCAAGCATCTCCACGAGCCCTAGTAACAGGGGCTTCGGTCACATGCCACTATTGTACACATTATACACTTTTTATACTGTGTATAAAATGGTTGCTCCACCTTCATGCACTGGTGACTTTTTTCTGTCTCTTTTCTTGTATGATACCACATTTATCTACCTGGCCCTTGTTCCTGTTTGATTAAATTCACAAAATAAGGCAAATGATTACTACAACTTGGGGGGGAAAAGACACATTTGCAATGCAAAGGATTTTCCTTTGATAACCACCATAATCATGATAACCACTACAGCCCACCATAGTTACGATGGTACTGTTAGTAATAGGGCAAACTGTTTTAAAGTGGTGTTCTCTCTTACCTTGCCCTGCCAGGCACCATACCTCCTCTGTAGGCAGGTTTACTACAGGTTGCCAATCTGACCAGTCATTCATTAGCTGAGAGTGTCAGTTGATTGTTCTCAGCCAACGAATGAGCGTCTGTGCATAGAAATGGGCCCCAAATTTATATTAGCCAGCCTGGAACTCTTGTTCTGGGCTGACTGGGGGCCCCGTGACGCTGCCAGAGGTGGAGTTGGTGAAACCTAAGCCCCTTCAGATGGTTTGAAATAAAACCAGCGGGCAGCTTCTGACCACCCCTATATTCCAAAGATAGTTTGTAATTACCACAACTACCCTAAGATTGCGGACATGACTTTTTCACTGGGCCTGTCTGACAATGAATGCCAGTGCTGCTGGACAAACTATATTGGCTTTTTAAAGCCTTAGGGAGGAAGGCATATCATCCAAAATCAGTTTCTATGGCTAGGAGATAGGAGTAGCTTTTGAGCAAATGCTAAATTGGCGTAGACTACGCTAAGCTGCCCATTGCTCACAAGCTACTAGGATCTTCTTTACAGAGGTTCCAGTACCATACTTACTTTTTTTCTCGAGGTACTTAGAATCTATTCTTACTCCATAGTTACTAAAGGTATGTATAACTCTGATCTGCACTAAGTAGTGGGAAACAGCTAAAAATAGCTGTTAGTTCAGGATTGATCTCTCAATTCTCAGATGTTCGTCAATACCTTTCTTATAGGAAATTTTGCTTACTTGCAAAGCTACTTTCAAATTCTTTACCTATTACCAGGGGTATTGCATCAAAGCATCCATTTTGTATTTTATGCTATTGGGTGCTTTTTTTGTCTTTACTATGTAATACAACTTTTGCTTTAAAAAGGGGTTTTGGTATATACATCGTGTCCCTGCAATCTTACTGGTCAATTCTCTGCCATTTAGGAGTTTAATCACTTGGTTTTTGCAGCCCTAGCCACACCCTCCCTTCATGCGACTTGAACAGCCTTATTCAACACTTCCTGTAAAGAGAGATCTAATTTTTAAACTTCCTTTATTGCACATTCGGTTTAATTTAGAATTTCGTATCCCCTGCTCTGGTAATAGTCTGCTGAACCTGCAGGGCCTCCTGTGTGTGATTAAAGTTACATTTACTGAGAAGGAGATAAAAAAAAAACTTAATGTCTGATTGAAATTAAAACAATTTATTTCATGGAGTCTGTGCTAGACACAACCAGCAGAAATATGGCTAGGGCAAGTTAACTGTGATTCCCTAAGCTTTTTCCCTTTCTCCAGAGTTCTCATGTTCTCTGTTTGTGCTGCCATGCATTTGCTTGGGCTCTCCCTAAGGATAATCCAAAACCCCATGATCTATTTCCTAGAGTGGTATCAGCTACACCTCATTGAGGAGGACCAAAGAAGGCCAAAACGATTGTCCGGGTTTGCTGTATCTCTCGTGCATAGAGAAATTGCCGCCATTGAGGTTCTCGACTGCCTTTATTTGTAGGATCAGTCTGATAAGTAAGTGGTATAGATTCTCTTTAAAATGGCACAAGTGATCAAGAACTGTTTTTAGACCTGTGCGGGAAATAACTGAAGGGCAAGCTAATGAGATTCTCTAAGCCTTTGCCCATTCTCAGAGTTCTCGTTTTCTCTGTTTTTGTTCCAAGGTATGGCTAAGGCTGATTAACCAAAAACAAAAGTGGTTTAAATTCTAAATGGCAGAGAATGGCACGATCTGTATACTAAAACTGCTTCATTAAGCTAAAGTTATTCTGATGCCTATAGTATGCCTTTAAAGTTGTAATTCTCTTTGAATTCTCATTTTAGTGAATAGTCCTGATAATGTGATGGGAAATGATAAACTTTGATGTCATATATGCTCACATTTTCTTGAGACCGCACTCTCTCACATGATCTCTCCAACACACACACTCTCACGTGTAGTCTCATAGGCTGCCTCACATGTACACAAACTCGCACACTGGTGTATTATTATTATTTATAAAGCGTCAACAAGTTCCATATCGCTGTAAAATGGGTGGACTAACAGACAAATATTTCTAACGGGACGAGTTGGACACACAGGAACAGAGGGGGGCCCTGCTCAATGAACTTACATGCTAGAGGGAGTGGGATAATGTGACACAAAAGGTAAGGGTAAGGTAGAAAAGTAGGTTGCTAGGATAGGAGAGACATCAGGGTTCGGGGAGGGAAAGCTGTTCACAGTTTAATTGACATGCTTTCCTAAAAAAGTACGTTTTCAAAGATTCTTTGAAGGAGTGGAGATTGGGTGGAAGTCTAAAAGAGAGGGGGAAGGGCGTTCCATAGGATTGGTGCAGCCCTAGAGAAGTCTTTAAGGTGAGCGTCAGTGGTAGGAGTACGAACAGAGGTTAGACGTAGGTCTCCGGCAAAGCGTAGGGGCCTAGATGGGACATATTCATGTAATGGTGAGGATAAGTAGGTCGGAGCAGCATTGTGTAGAGATTTATAGGCAAGTATCAGGATCTTAAATTGAGTCCTATATCTTACGGGAAGTCGGTGTAGGGACTGACAAAGTGGGGAGGCGTGGGAGGTGCGGGCGGACAGGAAGATGAGCCTCGCCGCCGTATTCATTATACACTGTAACGGGGCAAGTTGTGAACACGTAAGACCACTGAGAAGCGGATTACAGTAGTCAAGGCGAGAGAGGACAGCGACATGGACAAGCACCTTTGCCGTATCAAGTGTTAAATAGGGTTGGATGTGCGCAATATTTTTGAGATGGAAGCAGCAGGATTTGGCGATTGATTGGACATGAGAGGTGAAGGAGAGGTCAGAGTCAAAGAGAACACTTAGAGATAGAGTTGATGGTAGCACCATTGACTTGGAAGGACACAGACAAGGGAGTAGCAACACTTGAGGGAGGAAAGACCAGAAGTTCTGTTTTGGACAGGTTCAATTTAAGGAAATGAGCAGCCATCCAGTTGGAAATAGCAAAGAGGCAATCAGAGACACAAGTCAAGAGGGGTGCTGAGCATTTTTATTGCCATGGCTCATCTTTAAAGCAACAGAGTTTGGGTGACATTGGATATATCTGTAAAAATGTGACAGTCCATGAAAAAGTGGGAGAAAATCTGAAGGTGTGTGTTGTAGTCTGTTGTGATGAGGTATGGACCAGATGTATAATTTTCCTGATTCAATTCCATTGTGCTATGTAGTATTTGCTCATGGCATAACACGAAAACAGTCCCTCTCAGCCAGCTCCAAGTCAGATCTATCAAAGTGACAGAGGAAATCAGAAAACAATAGATCTTGAGTGAAGAGGGTAAAAGCCCTTGAAGGGTAAAGGTATGGAGCACTAATAATCTCAGGACACGATTAGTAGGTTTATGCTACCACTTAACAGGTACATTACTAAAACAGGCATAGGACAGGATAATGGATGCATTGCCCCATAATTTATGTTTACAAGAGAGCTCTATTTACATTGCATTTCATGACTGGTGGAATAACTTTCAGAGGTCCCTGTTTTTACTGCTACAAGCCACTGGCATTGCTTTCTAGCAGTCTGGCACAGTGTGAGCTGAAAATAGCCGGACACACTGGTATATGATCCGAGAAAGAGAAAAAAGGTCCGGGCACTCCAAAGCTCAATAAGGCAAATTTATTGGAACGAAGAAAAAAACATTTCGACCGTACAATGCTGTTTTCTGTTCCAATAAATTTGCCTTATTTGCTTTGGAGTGCCCAACCTTTTTTCTCTTTCTTGGATGAAATATTGTGTGGGGTTTGTGCTAGCTCCTGGTTAGGTTGCACCTAAGTATTTTGCTCTCTCGAATGTGCAGTTCCTTCACTTTTATTGGTCTATCTATACTCTGGTATATGATGACATATCCTGGTGTGGTTTTCTTTATTAAGACTTCACTTACAGCTTTGCGCCACTAGAGGGCAGTGAAGCACAGACTTCCGATCCTTCATATTTACTATACGGAAGGGGTTTTTGGGGGCACCCATTTCAACACAGGTTGGAGATTTAATAAAGCGAGTGAATTGCCATGTGTGTGATTTGATAGGGTTATATTTATTAGAGGTTTGTTTCCTGGTGTCTGTGTTTTAGGACTATTTTTTTTTTGGCAATGTGTAACGATTAGATATTTGTAGTGTGATATATAAAAATTATGTTAATCACAAACTTTGGGGTCGGTTTCTTGTGATTCCCAGGTAGCCAACAGTCTGAACAACTATTTTGGGAGCAGCCGTAGCCCTCCACTTTTTGTGAAGTATGGCTCCCATGATGCTCAGCTAAGCTTAAACATTTGGAGTAGTGTCACTGAATTTCATTTGCTGTGAATTGTGGCTCAGATTACACTCAGCCAGCCAATAGACTGCATAAGGAATAAGGAAGAATATGGCTCTCCAATGGCTTGTTACTTCAACAGGATGTGATGTCATAGTCAGGAACAGGTGCTACAGATATCACGGCTGTGCATGTTAGGAGCAGGTGGCTCTCTAGTTTGTGTGTAGTATGGTCACCATGAGGCTCAACCATCCACAATTAAGAGCTAGGTGACCGCAGCAATAACACTTTAGTAGCTTTAGAGTGCTCAGCTAACCTTTTTGGTTGCCTTAGTCTCATTGCATCTCTTCTCCACATTATGTAAAGTACCAGAGATTAGTCATCACTGGCCCAAAACGAAAATGAATCCTCCCCCCACTCACTTTCCTTTTTAGCAACCATTCATGTTATGGGCCCGGAATAGCTTTCCTGTTGGAATGCTGGAACTTAGCCTATGTTATGACACATAGATTTTAACATGTCTTCCTAGTACTGTGATTAGTTTTGGCATGCTTTTCATTCTTTTTATGATTCATATTATGCAGTAACTAGACTTGGAGATTCGTTTTGGTCCAAACTGCAATTTGTGAGGATTTGGGCAGATTGGGTGATAAGTAAAATTCACGAACTACGAGCTAAAATATATCGGACCAACCGAGAAGCGCAATGGCCGAGTATGTTCGTTTTGATTTGTAATGCAGAATTCTGTCCATGGCACCAAAAAAAATAATAAAAAAAATAGGGAAGGTTAATAATTGTTGACTTTATTCACATATTAATTGAAAAGCGAGCAATAGAGGAGCACTATATTGATATATACATATAGATTTCTTTTTTAATTTATTTTATTACTGCTCCTTCAGTTTTTCTCTCAATTGGTTACATTTTCTTACTTTATCTCTGAACTAAATGGCGTGAAAATGCTCCTATCAGTGCAATGCAACATATACATGTACCATTCTCATTACATATGTATTTTGCAGTACACTGATTGGCCCATTTATGTGCCATTTTGGTTCGTCTAAATTAATTTCCTGGATTTTGTTTTCCGGTACTGAAATTTTGGTGAGGCGAACCGACATATGGTCCCCCAAAAATTCCTATTTTGGAGGGAAATGGTTTGGCCAAACTGAATCTTCTCGCCATGCCTAAAAATAACCGAGCGGTCCTTGCAGCATTGTTAGATAATGAAATAGGAAGCGTATTTGTCTAATAGAGCAAAGCAAATCTGTCCATGGTGTAAGTGTTCCTCTATCACTCTACTCTCCGCTGTGGCACTGAAAGTGTTCATTTTGCCATGCAACGCATATTTTAGTTCACAGACCTTTTTAGTTGCATGAGAATCATAGGATTTACCCTTGAAAATAATACTGTTTCCTGTTTAACGCCAACTAATACATTGATATTGGCTGTACATGGTTGTATGCTTTTTATTAGTGTTTTTAGTTTTATATGTGGCATGTTTAAAACTGGTGCTGTTGATGAGTTAGTAATTAGCTAGTTAATAGAAACCTTTTTATATATTATTTTTTTTTTGCCTGTTTTTAATTACTGAATTTCTTTTTAGAGAGCTACCGTTTCCCAGAGAGTCTAGTATGTTTAATTTTTATTAAAATAGTTTCATTTTGTGTGTGAAGAAATGGTTATAGTTTAAAAGGTTCCTTGCTATGTAGTTCCCTTTGATGTCAAGGGGACGCACAGCTTTTTAGGGTTAGTGCATTTTTACCTCTTATGTACAGACAAAATTTACATTGTTTAACAGCTTTTGGCTCTTCCATGTGGAAATTAGCCTACAAGTCAACTGCTGTCATGTGTGATCAAAATCCTGAACTGTACTTGCAGCAATGATTGCGCGTGTTACTAACTTAAAGGATCACTATAGGGTCAGGAACACAAACATGTATTCCTGACCCTGTAGTGAAAACCCACCATTTAGTCTCCTACTGTACAGCACTGAGCCAGGAAGCCCGTCCAGTGGCCATCTGAGGCCATCTGAAAAGGCAGTGTTTGCACGAAAATGCCTGAAGGCAATGATTATACTCACCAGAACAACTACATTAAGCTGTAGTTGTTCTGGTGACTATAGTGTCCCTTTAAGACCATTGTTAGTACTACTGAGTAGAAATGGAAAATGTGTTAGGATACTGTGACAAGTAAAGACATTTTAGTATTCTTTGATAAACGAAATTTGAGAAATAGGATCAGAATGATACATAAGTTTATAATCAGAATTTAACTTTAAAACTTATGACTACACGCATATTAGGGAAGCAAGGATTTAATTTACTGAAACATATTAAAGCAGAATTTGCAACAAAAAAAAACTGCAGGGACATCGTCTCTGGTGGTCCGGTGGTCAGGGAGGGGGTGGTAAAAATAAGATTTGTTTAGCTGAACCTGTCCCCTCGCTGGTGCGGCCATCTTTCTCCGGCCGGTCGTCTTTAGCAGTAGCCGACGTCATTGCTGAACTCTTGCGCATGTGTGAGATTACAGCATTGAGGTCTATGGAAGTTCCTGTGAGAGTGCAGAATCCTCCATTCACTGCGCCAATTCCGCAGCCGTCAGGATTGACACTGTAGCTCCACCCAGTGTGTAAGAAGGTCAGGCGGAGGAAATATACAGAGACAAAGTAGTCTCTACTCTGTCTCTGTATATCTCTTGACTGTGTTGGAATTTCTTTCTTTATGAAATACAATTTTTTTCGGGTGGGGGTGGGGTGACAGTGCCGCTTTAAAAAGAATAAATATTACATTTTGTGATTGGTTCAGTAATGGTAGAATGGTATATGCATATTTTGGGATAGCTACAGGAATGGTAGATTGGTACATGCTGGGGCATATGCCATAGAAAAGTGAGGATTTCAGTGGAATTAAAGATGTGTCTGTGATTTCTATGTGATAGGTAGATAGAGAACTACGTCTTCTGCTCTCAGTGCATTGGAAAGAGTAGGGGGTTATGTGTCTATGCTTTTTGGAGATGAGGATTATATGTTTCCACAGACTCTGTCAGTTTACCCAGCATTGCCATGTCCCCTTCTAGCCGACATGCTCCTGTTTGTGTCTCTTGCTGTCCCCCGAACACTGCTAAATATACCCTCCCAGGTTGCAAAGGCTGCAGGATTCCTGTAACCTGAGCCTGAGGCTCCGGGGAGATCTCTCCGAGAGTGGAGCAGTATGTCTGCTCCAGACCCTACCGGGGCTGTCTCCATCATGGACCCCCAACCCAAAATCCAGCGTCCTGTCTTGGTGAGGCTCCTTTTTTCCATATTTCTATATCCGTGAATCCTTCTGTTTGTTTCCCTAACATCTGTTTTCTTTCAAGATGCCTGCTGTGCAATATTTCTATGCCTGTCTTCTCTCGGAAGGATTCAACATCTAACCCTTTATTCTCATTCTCTAACTCCCTTCTGCACGGTGTGATTTGGGTAGGGGTCTTTCGGTACTATGGTTCTGTGTGTAGTTGTCTGTGGGGTTATATTTAGGTTTCTTATTTATACTTACTCTATTTGTGTTCTCTGTGACTTGTTATGAATGGGGGTAATGAGTTTCTGGTTCCTAGAGTCAGTATGGCTAAGAATAAATGTATTAATTAACCATTACAAGACAACTATTATATATACATATACAGTAGAATTGTGGAACCTGCCTAGTTAAAAAAACTATGATTGGATATTTTAGAAACAAATCTATTGCCCCTGTTAAAACAATAGAACCTTAGTGCCGAGGGCAGCAGAAAACACCTTGCGAGGGACATCTTGGGCCTCCAGTCACAGAGCCCTGTGTGGTACAGGGATATCAAATGATAACCGAGATGCGTGTGCTTGTATAAGAGACTATCCAGTTTATTACACCTACTTTTACAGAGCAGTGTTACAGCTGGCAGATTATAAATATGCCTTCTCAGCGGTATTCCCTTACTCTCTCCAGAAGCCGGATTCAGTCCGGTGCGTCTAAATGAGAAAAATATTTCTCTAATGCTAAAGATATATGTGAACTAAACTTACTGACCGTAATACTCACCATGAATTCTACTCAGTGGTGTTGCTACACCAGGCTGCCCTGGGCTGGAGTCCCAAGATGGCTCCTTAGACGCCCCAGGTTTTACCACCATTTTATTGTTGCCCCCCAAGGCCCCTTAAATCCTTCAACTGTAAGTGTACGATTTGTAATATTGAGATAGAAAAAAGCACCTTCAATTCCTGATATTCCACTTACCCTTCTACTGTTCCTCTCAGTTATGTATTACAAATTATGTAATTCTGTTATGATTTAACACATGAGACAGCTACAGAGGGGACTTTAAAAAAAATCGACAGTCTCTATGGTCTTCCCAGCTTCACTCCCTGCACAGAAACAGTAAAGACCATAGAGACTATCTGTCTGTTTTCAAACACTGTCTGACCCAAGGTGTATGAATATGGCTGAAGGGTCTTGCCATCTACTAAAGGTACGGATAATAGTTCTAATTTTTTTTAAAAGGTATACTTTATTTTAAAAAAAAATTTAAAAATTCTGTTTTATTTAAAAAATTGATGAAACGACTATTATATTAAAAAATATTGTTGAGGTGACAGTTGTGCAATAAGCAAATAGACCATATATATAATTAAATCTGCACCCATGTAACGGTTAATATTTTTGCTAATGCTGTCATGAACATAATTGAAGGGAAATATTAATGTTCCGTCTTCTTGTCTCCACATGCTTTGAACTACTGTTGTTTCTCAAAAACTGGCTAGGGATTATGGGAGTTCTGGACAGCTATTTTTGGATTTTCCCACTAGGGTCTGTGGAAAATAAAGAGTTAAAACACTTAATTTGTTTTCTTCATGCAGAGCGTGAGGACGTCTAGCGTCAGTTACCGTACCAAAAGTCCGTTAACAGCCAGGTAGCGCCTCCAGTGGCAGTCTGGTAGACAGAACTGGGGAAGACTTAGTGCTGAAATTTAAACATTGCAGCACTAAGTGCAATGGGGACACTGCACCCAGACCACTTCAGTAATCTGGTGGTCGGGGTGCCTGTTGTGTCCCTTTAAGGCGGGATAACTCAGAATAGACTGAAATGAAAATACAGCGTGTGTGAAATTTGGAAATTATAAATAAGATAAAGGACTGATTATATAGCTTCTGGCGTTTATGTGGTTAACTGGATTTGAAAGATAGAAATGAAATGGGGATGCAGAAATGAAATGGCAATGCTGGAGATTAAAAGTAACACTGGAGATATATAAATGTTGGCACTGGTAATGGCATGGCAGAGGTGCCCATGAATTGGGACATGGAGAGGAAATAGGGAACTGGACATGGCATTTTATTGAAAATTAGACGTGGAAGCTGGAGATGAGATGAAGCACTGGAGTGGACATGTGTACTCCGAGAGGTTTGAGATATGATGGGAGGAAAGACGGGGAGGCTGGAGATTTAATGGGGGTCTGGAGATTAAAATACTGAAACCTGAGAGGGGTGAAAGCAGAGTTGGTGGGCACGGAATTGGAGATACGATGCAGGCTTGAGAGGAGATGAGCCAGGAGGAATGAAGGAGTAAGAATTGGGAGGAAATGAGATAATGCTGGATACGTTGGGAGAGATGAAGAGGTTCGAGGGGATGGATAATGTGATGTCGACAGTCGATATATGTTTTATGTGTGTCATAGATCAAATAGGTGCAATAAAGTTAAAGGGACACTATAGAACAGAACAACTTTAGCTTAATGAAGCAGTTTTTATGTAAATCACTGTGTTTATGCAGCCCTAGTCAAACCTCCCTGCATGTAATTTCCACAGCCTTCCTAAATACTTCCTGTAAAGTCATCTTTATTGTAAATAGTATCTCCTGCTATGTTAGTAGCCTTCTAGACCCCGCAGGAGCCTCCTATGTGTAGTTAAAGTTCTATTTACAGAGCAGGAGATAAAAGTAAGATACATCTGACTCACAGCCAGGGGAGATGTGGCTAGGGCTGCATAGACAGAACAAAGGTGATTCAACTCCTAAATGGCAGGGAATTGAGCCGTGAGACTTCAGAGGCATGATATATACACAAAAACTGCTTCATTAAGCTAAAGTTATTTTGGTGACAATAGTGCCCCTTTAAAGTTAACCTGATGCAGTGTAATGCAATTCTGCTATATAGGGCAGCATTTTCCCAGTTCTCTGTTTTGTGAAACCCCCTCCAAAATGGTTTGACAGAAAATTGGGAGTTGGCACCCATAGACTTATAACTACTTCAATAAGCTGTAGTTGGTATGGTGCTTCGAGTGTCACTTTAAATAAGGGAATTTTATTAAGGATTTGATAGAATTCTAGCACTTCAGGACTAAACAGTTAGCCACATTGCTTCTGATTTTAAAAATATGGTGTTTGTCATGTATGTCCTTTGAATGTGCTACTGTAAGGTGCATTACACGTTTGCCTGGAGTACCGACTATCAGGGGGAACTCTGCCACTGTACAGGTCAGTAGTGAGATCAAAAGATCTCACTGATCATCTATGCACCCCATCAGTAGTCAAATTATTTCTAGGGTTACTTATTTTTAGGGTGTGTAGTCTGCCACTGAAGTAGGCGTATATCACTTTAAGCACTCTTTTGTACTCCTGACATTTCTGAGTGGCTCATTGCACTTCCACCTAGTTACCCAGCCAACACTCTGCGTCACTGAGAATGCCCGGACTAGAAAGAGCGCTGATTGTGACCTGCACCCACTAAAGATACACAACACATATACCCACTAAACCACCAGTATTCTGCTATATGCCTGTCAGACCTCCAAAGATTAAAATACTCTCCCGTGTTATTATTTTTAAAGAATAATGAAGACACATATTACCCCATGCAGCCTGTGCCTACACACAACTCACACATCCTCCACAAACACACAATACATGCAGCCTTTACAGACTCTTAACCACACGCAGACGGTGGTTAGTGGGGGAGCTAGTTAAGTTGAAAACTGGTAGAGAAGTAGCAGAAAAGAGACAGAACGTTGGAGAACAGAGACACATGTACAGTAAAACTTAGACACGTAAAGGGACACTATGGTCACCAGAATCATTACAGCTTAATGTAGTTGTTCTGGTGTCTATAGCCTGTCCCTGCAGGCTGAGCACTGTAAACGCAGCCTTTTCAGAAAAAAACACTCAGTGGCGGTCAGTCAGACGGCCACTAGAGGTACTTCCTAGTCCAGTGCAGCACTTGCGTTCAGCAACTTCACACGCACTGCATGGAAGCGCTGAACTTTCCCAATAGTGATGCATTGCTTCATTGAACCCCTATGAGGAGATGCTGATTGGCGCTGCACTGTATTTTTCTGTGAATGCGCAATAGCCTCCCAATGCTTGCCTATGGAAAAGGATTGGATTGGCTGAGATCATCAATATTGATGATCTCAGCCATGAGGGCCGGGCCAACCGCCACGAGACCGACATGGAACAAAAAAGGTATGTAAACTGTTCCCAATGCAATCGGAGGGATACCATTTACCTAAATAGTTAGTTTAACATTATAGTGTTAGGAATATATGTTTGTTTGTATTCCTGCCACTATCGTGTTCCTTCAAAAAAGAAATGGGAAATGAGAAAGAAGAATGAGAAATTGGCAGAGGGAGACTCTAGGGAGAAGAAAATAATATGAGACTGAAGGGAGATGTGGGAAACATGAGGGGGTGGAAGACTGGACTTTTGTAAAAAGCATTGCACCAGTCCTGCATTCATCATTATTATCATTATCAGCTATCTCAGATTAGTAGACGCATGACTATAAAAGCAGGACGAATCAGAATATTTTTATTTATTTATTTATTTATTCAAAATGTTTGTGCTACGTATCTACACACATTTAAAAAAAAACCATGTTTGATGGTGAAAAACATAGTAAATGGACACTCTTGGCCCCATAATAACTTCATCGTAATTAAGTTGTTATGGTGTGAGGAGGTCCTGGGTGCTGGAATGCAAATAGAGGCTTTTAGCTTGTGCCTGATTACTCTGTTCCTGTACTTTCACTCTAAACCTGAAGCATCAATCAGGACGCCTTGGACCAGACACTGTTTATAGGCTGAGAGCATCATATGAAATTCTCAGCCTATCAGAGTCAGCTGATTCGAGGCTTCCTAATTGAAGCCTTGGACCTTGATCAGAAGAGCGACCAAGTGGCGGTTTGAAGTCTTTGGTGTTACACCGTTTGCTAATGGTTTAACCCATTCAGGTAAGCTGGTGCTGGGGACCTCCTTGTACTAAAAGAACTTGATTGTGATGAAGTTATTCCGATATTCAGAGGGGTCCTTTAACCCTTTAAGGACACATGACATGTGTGACATGTCATGATTCCCTTTTATTCCAGAAGTTTGGTCCTTAAAGGGTTAAATACTACCACACGCAATAGTGTCAGCTTTTAGAGTGCTTATAGTATGGATTGTTATTTATTTATTCATTTTTTAATTCTTTATTTTGCAGGTGAGCAGGTATAACATGTGTATCAAATAAGTCAAACAACATATGCTTAGCATAGTACAGTGTTGATAGCAAATATATCAGCGATTTAACACCTTTTTTTAAATTTATGTTTAAGATAGCTTTGGTGAAGAGAGGTCGATATACAGCAGCTTATAATCAAGTGTAGAGCATGGCAGACATCCAAGACCACTAACCATAACATACATAGCATAACACGTTGTATCAGGAGCGTATATGTGTCTGCCAGTTTGCCTGCTCGTATGGAGAAACTACCTGGAGATGTACTCCTAGAAGTGTATCTGGGCTGCCTGTCTGTTGGCAAGTGTCTGTGCATGTTCTAGCCCAAGTGGGAATGAAATGAGCTCCATGACCCCGAAGCTCGAGGGGGGAGGGGGAGACTGTGTGCGTTAGAAACTGTTCCATAGAACGGTACATAACTTAGGTTCTGCTGTGTTCTCTAGAGGGCATTTGACCTGTATAGGTCCTTACCACGGTGTTGTGGCACAAGCGGAGAAACATATATAAGGGGAAAACAAATCGGAACTGCATCTGAAACTTAAAGACTGGGTTAACTGTTAATATAGTATTGGAAAGTCCGCTGTAAAATCCCCGTGTGATAGGGCATTTGCTGAGCAGGGCCTCTTTCGTCTGCACCTCATCCCGGAGCAGAGGAACCAGCTGATGTGAAGACGGTGACATTGTTCAAATCCCACTGATGAGTGGGTCTGCCAGTTACGGATGTGACATGGGTGGTTATCCCCAGTGCTAGTAAAAAGCTTTCTGCGTTGGACGAAGATGTAAACTTGTGGCATGTATCATTTTGCTTGACCATAAAGGATCGTGGGAACCCCTTTGTATGGGATGTTTGCCGCTCTCAGCTGGCTGGTCACCTCCTTAAATGTAGCACGCCATTGCAGCGTTGCTCTGCTGAGGTCATAATAGAAGTTTAAAGCATCTTGCTCAAACATAAATGGTGCGTGACCTTTAACCTGTGAGAGGAAGGTGTCCTTGTCGGATCGTGAGCTGAAGCCCAGAATCACATCCCTGGGAGTCTGAGCCTTGTTCCTAGGTCCTCCTGGTAGTCTTAATAGTCCATCGTGCTGCAACCCTTTAGCTTGCTTGGGTGTCAAGGCTGCTGCAAACAGTCTACTGATATAGTGGGGTAGTTCTCCAGCATCAATAGCGTTAGGAATACCCCGAATTTTCAGGTTGCGCTGGCATGCCAAGTCTTCCAGGTGTTCCAACTTAGCGCTGCGCAGGTGTTTGACACCTCCTGTAGGTGAGTATCAGCGGATTGTTGTTTAAGTCCAATACTTTGGACGGTATCCTCTGCGGCTTTAATTCTCCTTGCTAGCATGCCTTTTAATGTCGCCATTTTAGAGGTAAAGAATGTTTTAATGTCCGTTACTATTGTGTGAATATCGTTTTTTGTGGCCCACTGTGGGTCAGGCTGCTTCTGATAAGTGGCTTTGCCGCTGCGGGATTGTAACAGAAGGTCTGCCAGGTCCTGATCCTCGTCTTCCGAGGCCGTGTCGAAGCCGCATGATGAGTCAGGGAGCAGGTCTCATCTTAGGCCTACTCGGTTGTGAGAGTATGAGGCCGATATCTCATGTTTGGACCCCGAGTTTTACAGGAATGCTTCCCCTTGATCTCTCCCGGTGCGTGGGTTATTTTGTGTCTCTGTAGAGGGTGTATAGGCAGTCGGTTTCCCCTCTCTCTGCCGGAGCTCAGAGTGCTTGTGACCGCTCAACTTGCTGGCTAGCTCCGCCCCTGGATTGTTATTTAAACAGAATTCCTACTCAAATGTTTTCTAAACTACAATTTTTAGGGCTTTAAAGCCTTTCAATGTTGACTACTATCTCTACTGAAAGCATGTGATCACTAGAGATGTCGCGAACCGTCCGCGAAAGGTTCGCCGCGAACTCCGGTCAGCTGACACGTCCCGGCCAATCTCCAGCAGACCCTCCCTCCCAGACCCTCCTACTTCCTGGACAGCATCCATGTTCAACATGGATGCTGTCCAGGAAGTAGGAGGGTCTGGGAGGGAGGGTCTGCTGGAGATTGGCCGGGACGTGTCAGCTGACCGGAGTTCGCCGCGAACAGCTCGTGGCGAACCGTTCGCGAGAAGTTTGCGACATCTCTAGTGATCACTAAGAAATTACAGAGATGGAGAGACTGTTGGAGAGCTGATTAATTCATTTAGTAGAGGAAATCGGTGTTGCTAGGTTTTGGGATTGTGTTCAATGTTTCAGACTATAAAATTCTAGGGTTTCGTCTGTCTGCTTGTTTTTTTTGACTGTGCATGGGAGATGACTTTTTAAGATGTTATTTCATATTACAGAGGGGAGTGTGCAAAAAAAACGTAAACAGTTTTTTAATGCACAAAATCAACAATTATAATGTCCCTGAAAGTGTTTGGTAGCAGAGGTAGGTATAGCGAGGTATAGTGAATGCATAGTAAATATGACTAGATTAAATGATTGTGTTGCATAGGACAATTATGAAACATAGTAAAAAGTCATCTAGTTACCACTCTCCCATACTTAAAAGGTTGTATTCTTGATTATACACAAGCGTTCCTATCCAAAGCCTTTTTTTTTTAATCTTTCACTATAATAATTTCTACCACATCTGCTGGAAGCCTTTTCCATGCATCTATAACTCTTTTTGTAAACAATGATTTTTTTTTCTGACATAATTCATAAATACCCCTCCCTCTGACTGCAAGTTATACACTGATCAGCTACAACATTCAAACCACTGACAGGTGAAGTGAATAACATTGATTATATCGTTACAATGGCACCTGTCAAGCGGTGGGATGTATTGAGCAGCAAGTGAACAGTCAGTTCTTGAATTTCATGTGTTAAAAGCAGGAAAATTGGACAAGAGAAAAGATCTGAGTGGCTTTAACAAGGGCTAAATAGTGATAGCTAGACGACTGGGGCAGAGAATTTTCAAAACGGCAAGCCTTGTGGGGTTTTCCTGGTATGCAGTGTCTAGTACCTACTAGAAGCGATGGACAACCTGTGAACTAACATCATGGTCATCCGAGGCTCGTTGATGCACAGATGGAGCAAAGTTGGCTTGTGTGGTACAATCACACTGAAGAGCTAATGTAGCTCAAGTTGCTTATAAATTTAATGCTGACAATAATAGAAAGGTGTCAGAACACACAGTCAGGGATTTTGAATGTGTATTGCTTGACACTCTGACTCAGTGAGTGCCAGGACCGCGATGAGCAGATAATGAAGTCCTGTCTGTGGTCTAGTAACATGGAATGTGCTGAATGAATTGGTTAGAGTTATATCTAGATGAGAGACAAATATGCTTTACCCTAACAGTGTTCAGCTTCCTGCACATTGTTCAAATATAGAATTAAGAGGAACTGGCAAAATATTTTACAAATGTATGTATGCTTGACCTTCTTGTTTACTTTCTTGCAAATTGTGTCTGTCTTCTGCAGAAGGTCCCATCTTTTCTTCTTTTTACTCCCCCTGGCTATCTTTAGGTTGTTGGTTGATGTCATCTCCACAGTTGCAATATGTTTGTGGTGTACGATCTCCCACTAGACCACCAAGAAATATAACCCCTTATTGGGCCACCACGAGACCAGAATAATTCACCAGGAAATTTCAGTGGGGGGCAAAACAGAGCACTACAAGCACTATGCACAGCTAGCACAAACACTACACACAGCTAGCACACAAACACAGTCACTAAATACAGCCAACACACACCACAGACTCACTACGCACACATTATATACATCCAGTACACACCACTCTCACTACATACACACACCAGTACACATCTCACATACACACACATTACACGCAGCTGACACACATACCACACACTCATTACACCTAGCCACCACACACCCTATGGGCAAGGCACTAAACTCCAAATTTTCACAAATTAAATCTGAATGGCAAAATTAATGCAAAAATAGCCAGTTGTGGGGACGGGGCTTGACCGCTGATCGGATCACACGTGCTTCGTCTGAGCTCCTGCATCTGAGCCTGAAAATCTGTGCTAACTGAGAGCCACAAGCAGACACTGACCCACATCGAAGACCAAACAACTCACCAGCTGTTGGTCTACATGGAGATACCGCACACAAACTGGCATCAAAGTAACCCGATCGAAGCCTGAGGCCTACTGAAGCTTGAGCTGGGACGAGATGGCCGCTCTCCCAGGTCTCCAACCGACGACTTGCTGAAAGTAAGCGGAGAGAAGAGGGGCGGGAAAAGAGTGGGCACTCCTTCTAAAGCTAACACAAAGTCTCCCACGATGGGCCCACTCGGGCTGAAGTCCACCAGGGAGGAAGCTCCGCAGCATCGGCCACTGGCACAGAGAATCCGACACCATAAATGGCGACTCGTCACCAAGGCAGTCTCCTACCAAGGGAGAACTCGGCCTCATACAAGAGTATCTAAGTTTGTGGCCTCCAGTTGCAGGAGTTTAAGACGGCCCGGGGCTATGAGGAGGACCTACCTGAACTCTGCCTCTTGCTGACAGACAACCCCCTAAGCCTGCTACCAAGCCGGGGTATCGGCTGATCCGGGACTCACACACATAGCCTAATCAATTAACACAGCACAAAACAGACACACGCCACAGCACACGACTGCCACTTGCACACACTGGCTCTGACAGTTACACTCTCACTTGAAGAACCCTCCTATGCACCTGCCTGGGGGAGAAGCTGCCGACCGGTACCACATACTGACAAACACTATGATCTGAAACCCGTGGTTGCCCTACTTATAATCCAAACATGAAGATTAGGTACGCATAACGCAAACTTGCATTTCTGCTTCTAGCCTGCAAGGCTTACTAGCTTGCTATACCTGCTAATGTTACTCTACTACTATAATTATAAAATGTGCATGTTTTTTTTAATGCTCCTATTGATATGCATGTCAATTTGCTTGAGGACTGCTGTTGGGGCACCTTGAACTTGTATGTTACTACCAATATACACAACAACAAAAAATAGCCAGTTATATTATAGAGTATTTTTCGAGATTACACATTTTGGCCTTAGGTTTTCCATGCAGATGTTATTTGGCAAAATACTGAGTTTTGTGAATAACCCTTTCTATGTCTATGCAGTGTTATGTTCTGGGCAATGCTCTACAGCAGTGATTCCCAACCCAGTCCTCAAGTACCCCTAACAGTCCAGGATTTAGGGATTACCTAGTTTTGTCTATGATGTTTTTAGAAAGAAAATAAAAACACGTTAGACACAACAAGGTCATCCCTAAATCCTTGACTGATAGAGGGTAATTGAGGACTGGGTTGGGAACCCCTGCTCTACAGGAAAGCCTCTGGTCCTTGCATGTAACTTTGTCGTGCCACCTACGTGATTGTTGCAGACCATGTACACCCCTTCATGGCAATGATGTTCCCCGATGGCAGTGGGCTCTTTCAGCAGGACAATGGACAATGCACCCTGCCACACTGCAATAATTGTTCGGAAATGGTTTTAGGAAGATGACAAAGAGTTCAAGGTGTTGCCATTTCCTACAAATTCACGATTTGAGCATCTGTGGTATGTGCTGGAACAACAAATCCAATCCATGGAGGCACCACCACACAACTTGCAGAACTTAAAGGATCTGCTGCTAATGTCTTGGTGCCAGATAGCACAAATCAGATGTCCTTCCCACACGCATCACAGCTGTTTTGGAATCACGAGTGGAACCTGTAGATGGTTTCGATATTGTGACTGATCAGTGTATTCTCTTTATTTTGCAGCAGCAAAACAAAAAATCCTGCCCTCGTACCTTTTTTAAAAAATAGATTATGTTACCTCTATCCATTCTCTTCTCCAAGCTGTACATATTTAGCGCTTACAGTCTCTTGATATGTATATTAGCCCTTTTTATAATTCTCTTTAATGTATTTATATATTTCTGCAGACAATGTCTCCAGTTCTAAAGACTCCAGAACTGAACACAATAATCTTGGCGCAATTAGAACACTGAATCCAGATCTTAAGAGTTTATGTTTGTTTGTTGTTGTTTTTTTTAGAAAGACATAAAAAATGTCTTGGGGGTTTTTTTGGTTGTTTTTTTTTTTTAGCTGGCATTGATATGTTACATCAAGTAGATTTTATTTTTGAAGAGCCTTACTAGATATTGTAATTACTTTTTTTATGTCAGCTTCCCCGCGATCTCTTTGGTTTATTTCGCCTACCTCTTCCTCCCTCAAACCTTGATCTGTTCTTTTTATGAAACCACATATTCTGCAAGAAATTACAAAGTCAAGATGAGGTATCATGATAGCCATTCTTCTAGATTCCAGTAATACTATGTGATCCTAGAAAATGTTAATTAAAATTGTCTGGTGTTCATTTAATATGATGCATTAGAATCTCTAAAATCAATGCTTGCCATCAAAAATGAACAAATTATGTAGCTCAGCTAGGTTACTGAATGCACCATACCTCTCAAGTTTCCCTATTTAGGTGGAATAGTCCCTATTTTGGAACCAAATTTTTCTGTACCCTAGAAGCTCCATATTGTTGGTGCATTTCTAAGAGTTCAACAGCAATAATACTCTCAGTATTGTGTATTTAAACTTCAATAAATGTGTTTAGAAATCAATCTGTGTAAATAAGACGCATTTTTCTTTTTCTAAGTAGCATTTTCATTGCATAAATTAAAAGTAAGTCACCTAATATTTCTCAGAACCGCTTGCCCCTGGCCACACCCCCACTCACACCCTTATAATTAAGAAAGTGTCCTTTGTCCGTTTGAAATGTTGGGAGGTATGACACACGGATGAAAAGAGTTTAACTAGCGGAATATTGTGATGACTTACGTATTGAAGCTGAACCGTCTTTTAGTAGCAGAGTTGAGGGTAGGTGAGATGAGATCCCAAGGTCAGTAAGAACACTTGGTCATAATTTTATTTGTAGCAGAACCTAAGTTCCTAGGAGCGACTCATTGTGGCTTTGCAACAGCAGTTAGCTCATTGAGAACTTTGCGTATCTCAGATATATTTAAAGTTGTGAAATTATCAACGGAAAAAGCTTGTTACTGTGAAAGCAGCCAGAATGTGATAATAACTAAACAAAAATCCTTATGTACCATCTAATGCAATGAGACCTATCATACTCGCTCTGTTTTCTGTCTAAACCAAGACGCAGAGAAGAGTGGCTAGGTTCTGTCCATCATGGATGGCAGTGAAAGGCCGAGAGGGCTGTGGTCTGGATACCTCCTGCACCCATTGCAGCCTTTGTCCCTCTTCTACAACTACTACAGCCCCTATCACCCCTGAGACAACTACTAATATGATTTAGTGGTGAAAATTATTAGTGTCCCCACCATGCCAGTTTTGACTGTGGTATCTTATTTGCCCTCCCCCCCCCTGTGTATTCTACCTAGAGTCACTACAGGTGGTTAGCCCTGCACTATCAGCCTTATTTACAAATACAAAGGGATAAATGACAAGCCAGTGTCTGATTGATGGAATTTTCTCAGTTTCAGTCAGTATTTCATGAGTGTTTTCAATGTGACACACATTTTATTTGCTGGTTAAAGGGTCACTCCAACCACTATAACCAGTTCTTCTTTATGAAGTGGTCATGGTGGTTGTAGTCTGGATGTGCAGTGTTTCACCTTGAAACTCTGCACATCCAGAGATATATTTAATTGTCTGCTGTGGGCAAATTGCACCCCCAACACGTGACTTGCCCCTAGTACACAATTAAAAATATCTCTGGATGTGCAGTGTCAGCTGAAGCACTGCACAACCAGACTCCTACCACAATGCCATTTCTAAAAGCAGAAGTGGTCATAGAGGTTGGAGTACCCCTTTAAGCATGTTCAGATCGGACATTTTGATTATTTTTTGTTTCATTATCAATTCCTTATTAATAATTAAATTGCTTTAATTTAGTAATGTGGAATTGTTAGTATTCTAGCATCTCAATGAAGTGCGGTGTTTGTTCTTCTCATGCCTAGTGGTAGCGATTAGTTGCTAAAAAACGTGTTTTCCGTTGTTTAACCAAGAACATTTTGGTGCAGAAAATGCTGCGTCTCTGATTAAGTGGTCTCAAGCACAAAATGCATTAAACCAGGGTTGTCATAAGCATACGCATTTGGCCTCTTCTAGGCTGATGGGGCCCATGGTGTATCAGAGCAGTTGGGGCACGTGGGCACTTAGTTACACCAACCTTCCAACTGCTTTAATTGCTTATGCATACCACCCAACATAACTGACACCTGAATATGCCAAGGAGATCGGGGGACTATGCTGTATCTTATATCGTTTAATGAGAGAGGGAATTGAGCATTTTATCTCCCTGTTCCCCCTCTCTCCGCTCCCTCACACAATGCTGCATGGCTGGGATGTAAGCAATGCCATGTAGACTTCCAGCATGTGGAGCACTGTTGATACACGCATACACTGCATTGCTGTGGGTTGCATTGATTTGAAGCTCTGTGATACGCATACACTACACTACTGTAGGTTTTATTTACATTTCACATTACTGTGAAGCTGTCAAACACACTTAAAACGTTGCACATCGTTGTGGATTTGAATGCTGATTAGCCCTATGATATAGATATATAGATATACTCCTCTGTTCTGTGAAATGTGTGTCTCTGTGGCTGTGAGGTAGCAATAAGGTTCAGTTAAAGGGACCTTGTCCTCTGTACTTTGACAAATCTAAATGTTGCTGTTTGTCAGGTACAGAAACGTTTACATTTATCAATCAGACAATCACTCGAGACACTTCCTAGTGAAGACTTTCAATTCTCTTTGAGTTGACGTTAAAGTTGACGCTTTAGTGAGTAACCCTGTAAGTGTCTGATGGGTTTGTTAAAGTGTCAATAACTCTCCAACAGAACGATTGTGAACATTTAATCTTGACTGCATAATGCAAATCAGTACTATCAAAACTGTTTATCAAAAGTTTTTTAACGATGCAATTGTGATCACTTTGGCATAACTGTTAAAAATCCTATTCTTACCCTCTATTAACTTCGGTTACATTATCGTGAGATAACATAATTAAAAACTGATCAATGTGAGTTAGGGTAACCAATATTTTCTAGAGCAGGGCTAGGCAGCCTTCGGCACTCAAGTTTTGTGGACTACATATCCCATAATTCTCTCACAGCCACAATGCTGGCAAACTATCATGGAGATGTAGTCCACAACATCTGACGTGCCGAAGGTTGCCTACCCCTGATCTAGAGATTGTAAGATGGTACACCCCATATCCCAAGATAACCATATCTGTCCCCTAATGATGGACCAGGTTATGTAAGCACCAGCCTCATTCGGATATGATTGTCTCTTTGTGTTTTGTTGGCATTATCGAAATCTATATTCCTTGTCAATACCAAGAAACTGACTCTTAAAGGATCTGTCTAAACACCATAAGCATGTTGCATTACTTTAAAGAGTGTGGTGCTTAGATCAGCCTGGGCTCAGTCTCATGTCTCAGTGTGGGCTGTTGTGGTAGAGCTATGTAAAAAACATTACCGTAGTAAGGGTGCACCAGCAGCCTTTCTCCTTCCTTGAGTGGAGATAAGCAGGCGGAGTGGAAGGAAACGTGTTAGTGTGAGAGTCTGTGTATGCGTGTCAGCTTTTGTATTTCTCTCAGTGTGTCTGTGTATGCATGTCACTGTGTCTATAATTATATGTTAATGTGTTGAAGATTGCATGTTAGTTTGTATCTATGTATGCATGTTTGCTTGTGTCTATCACTTTATGTTAACATGTGTCTTTGTGTGTGAACATGTTGATAATTAAGTTGAGGCTCTTGACGAGTTATGTAAGTGTCCGTGTGGTACTTGTATATGTATGTGTGAATGTTGGTGTTGTGGATGATGGAGCCCTGCAAATTTTCCTGCAAATGTCACAAATTGTAAGAATGACACTACCCACTAATCAGTGCGCAAAGGGACACTTTACATTTTATTAATTCATTCATTAATATATAACACATTTAAATATATTGTCATATATAACGTATGTAAGTAGACAAACCCTTTAACATTCTAACATCTGTTTTGTGTCCAGACACAAAGAAACACAAGAAGACTTCTTTCTGAGTAGCAAAAATGTCTAATGTTATATGAAATGTGTAAAAAATATATATATATATATCAGGAAAGAAGACGGATATGAAATTTAGTTTGAGAGAAAAAATAGGGAGAAAAAAAAGTTTGGGCATAAAGCCCTAGAATTAATATGTGGTCCTCCATTCCAGGGACCTCGAGGTTGTGTCCAAAAATATTACTGGTCTCCTTGAGAAGTTACTATATGAATGCAAGGAAATCTTATCCATAGACGAGAAATGCACTCTGGCAAACATGGGAATAGCTTAATTACTGGCGTGGTAATGGAGTGTCGTTATGACCCTGGGTCTTTTCCCCCCATAAAATGTCTGTAATGCAGCGGACAATGGTCCCTATCCATCTTAAGGCATACATATAGAGGCAAGTTCCTGTTTTGAATTTCTGTTCTAGTTAAACCTTTATGGACAAATGATAACTATGCTGTCATAACAATATGTGGTTTATGGGTCCTGTTTCAAAATGGGATGAACCACTAATTTAATGTCTGTTTGGCTGTATGGAGTTAAAGGAACACTATAGTCACCTAAATTACTTTAGCTAAATAAAGCAGTTTTAGTGTATAGATCATTCCCCTGCAATTTCACTGCTCGATTCACTGTTATTTAGGAGTTAAATCTCTTTGTTTCTGTTTATGCAGCCCTAGCCACACCTCCCCTGGCTATGATTGACAGAGCCGGCATGGAAAAAAAAACTGGCTTCACTTTCAAACAGATGTAATTTACCTTAAATAATTGTATCTCAATCTCTAAATTGAACTTTAATCACATAAAGGAGGCTCTTGCAGGGTCTAGCAAGCTATTAACATATCAGGGGATAAGAAAATCTAATTAAACAGAACTTGCAATAAAGAAAGCCTAAATAGGGCTCTCTGTACAGGAAGTGTTTATGGAAGGCTGTGCAAGTCACATGCAGGGAGGTGTGACTAGGGTTCATAAACAAAGGGATTTAACTCCTAAATGGCAGAGGATTGAGCAGTGAGGCTGCAGGGGCATGTTCTATACACCAAAACTGCTTCATTAAGCTAAAGTTGTTCAGGTGACTATAGTGTCCCTTTAATCAGGACTCTAGTGGAGTAGGAACTTTTAACGTGACACTATAGTCACCAGAACAACTACAGCTTATTAAATTTGTTCTGGTGAGTAGAATCATTATCTTAAGGCTTTTTGCTGTAAACACTGTCTTTTCAGAGAAAATGCAGTGTTTACATTACAGCCTGGCTGTTAGAGATCCTTGATAACTCCTCAGATGGCTGTTAGAGATCCTTCCTGGGTCATGGCTGCCTAAAATCCATCCAAACATTCAGTGTCTCCTCCCTCTGCATGCAGACACTGAACTTTCCACATAGAGATTCATTGAGTCAGTTCATCTCTATGAGAAGATGCTGATTGGCCAGGGCTGTGTTTGAATCATGCTGGCTCTGCCCCTGATCTGCCTCTTTGTCAGTCTCAGCCAATCCTATGGGGACGCACTGTGATTGGATCAGGCTACTACTTCTGATGATGTCAGCAGACTGCTTTTTTTTCTGATTCTAACAGCATGCAGAGTTACAGCTTCTGGCTTGAATACAGTAAATTTTTTCTATATTTATGGAGGCATGAGGGGCCCAGGGGATCTAGATGGTGGTGTTAACACTATAGGGTCAGGAATACATGTTTGTGTTTCTGACCCTATAGTGATCATTTAAAGAGGTAACAGTTCTCACATTTCTTGTTGTGAAGGGGTAGAGCTACATGTAGCACATTAGGCATTTACAGAACATTAGGCATTTTGAAATTGCAAATGTTCTATCTTCACTTTTTCCTCTGCGACTCTTAAATCCCGAGTGTTCTCTATATAATGTTGTGCTTCTCCATTCAAAAGAAGCAGACATCATTTTGACAGATCGACACGTGCCAAACAGCCCACGACTTCAATGAATTAGTAGGGCTTAAACGTCATCTTTCTTTGTAGGTTAAATGTGTATAGTTTTTTTCTGTGGAACATTGCTACCTAGTGACAGCGATAAGATTTAATTGACAAGAATTCATACTTTTATATGATGGTTTAAGTAAGAATTCATACTTTTATATGATGGTTTAAGTACACTACATATAATGACAAAAGCATCTCAAAACTTCACCTTCACCTTTAGAGTAGACAATTCCAAAAGTGTACGTGAACCACATACTTTAAAGTAAATTAAAGTCAATTCTGCTCTTCATAAGAGAGTTCAGAAACCACTACAGCTTAAACATGACTATACCTGACATTTCTGGAAAAGTTAATAAAAAGGAAAGACAAGATCACACTGGTCCCAATTAGATCATAGACTGAATAGCAAGGTCTGATGGGTTACTTGAAGAGAAACGCTTAACTAGCTCTGTGTAGACCAGGGCTGTCCAACCTCCGGTCCCCCCAGATGTTGCTGAACTACAACTCCCATGATTCCCTGGCTATCTTTTTTAATTGAAAGTATCATGGGAGTTGTAGTTCCGCAACATCTGGGGGGCTGCAGGTTGGACAGTCCTAGTGTAGGCTGTAAGCGTCTTTTACATTACTAACCTTCAGCTCAAAAATATTACACCTTGGCCCGTATACAAGCATTCTTAATTCAAATCATTGGATTATTGAAAGTATAAGGGGCTAGAGGGCTTCCGGAATCGAAATGGACCTTTGGTCCGTTATCTGACGCTGGATGTCCTCACGCTCTGCATGAGGATCTCCAGCGTCAGATTTTCCCCATAGGAAAGCATTGAATAATGCGTTCCTATGGGGAAATCCTAATACGAGCGCGGCCATTGCATCTCCCACGCTGACTGACAGCGGCGGGGGAGGAACGTGGGCGGTGCCTAACACAGCACAGAAGGACATCCTCTCTGGATTCAGATAAGTCATTGAAGAGGTTTTAACCCCTTCAGCGCCGTGGGAGGGTGAGCGCAAGGGAGGGGGCTCTGCAGGAACCTATAGTTCCAGGAAAATTGGTTTGTTTTCCTGGCACTATAGAATCCCTTTTAAGTAAGAGACCAGTCTCCTGGCAAAATGCAAATGCCATCCCAGTGTCCGTCTGAACTAAACATTCTGCTAACACAATTTGGCCAATGGGCTCCCAGGCCAGCTCTTCCACTATAAGGATCCTGCCCTCCAATGGATGTATTTATTTTACAATTGCAGTGTCCTCTTTAAAGATCTGTCTGATATTTGTCAAAACAACTGTTACAGAGTTGTTACTAGAGTCCTATTATGAGTGTCTTTGCCCTCATAATAGGACATCTAATGCAGTTGCAGACCACCCTCTTTTAGGGATATTGTTGATGGCATTGAGGGTAACTAAGCATGTAGGAATAGAATACTTAATGGGACACTTTATACCACTTTAGTTTGCTGAAATACCTTGTGTGAAGAGTGTGTCCTCTTTTTGTTTTCATTTTTGCAAAAAGTTCAGATAACAATAGAATTTGACACTTTGATAAATTCACCTGGTTACACCCCGTTGGAATTCAAGCAGACGTGTTACTTCCTGGTTTGATTAGCTTATTTGCACTGAACTGAAGAGGCAGCAATTGCACAGAGCACCTGCCTTGTAAAGACTTCTCATTGAGCTGCATTAAAAAGTCTGATTGGACAGCCACATTAAGTATGTGCAGGTTTAGAAGGGGGGGTTGCAAATGCTGCAGACAAGAGATCTGCAGGATTTGCAATCTGTTTTTAGATTTACCCCCAATTAAAAAAATGTGTAATTAATTGCATGCAAGTCTTCATTTTGGGTATATCCAGTAAACAGTGATTTTTATTTATTTTGTATCTGGACAGTGGAGTGTCCCTTTATTGCGTACTGAAAGTAGGGGTGTTTGTGAGGAAAATTAGTTGTTTTAGTTGTGGAAATATAGGAGTTGGCTGGGGAAGAGGGTTGCCACCTTTGTTGGAAAAAAAATACCAAGCATGCTAATTTGAATAATTAATTATATAAGTGACATCACAGGACAAGACATCACCAAGTTATGTAACATCACAGGGAGTGACAACAGAGAAAGAGAAATATATTTAGGATGGGAATATTTCCTATAAAAAAAAACCTAAAAAAAAACCTACTTACAATGTTTGTACAATGTAAGTGCAGCTTTGTGTATGTGTACAGTGTATTTACTGTTTCTGAGTGTGTGTATAGCAGAGTATGTCTGTGTGTATACGTGTGATAGTGTGTATAGCAGTGTTTGTTATTGTATAAATACTGTCTGACTGTGTATTGCAGTGTGTGTATACTGTATCTAACTGTGTTTATGTATAGCAGTGTGTCGTTGTGTGTACACTTTGTCTATTGTGTGCATAGCAGTGTCTGCATATTGTGTCAAGTGTGTCTGTCAGTGTGTATATACTGTGAGGGTGTGTGTGGGATTGTGTATATGCTGTGTCTGAATGTGGGTTGTCATTTTGTGTGTATATAGCAATGTGTGTACATGCTTTGTATAATAGAGGTTTAATCAGAAGAAAATACCTGCGATAACATTGCTGTATTTTTACAATACCACCAACGGACAGACAGCCTCAAATACTGGTTGTGCCAAGTGGCAACCCTACTGGAGAGATAGGCTTGCTGCGTGTTGACAGTGGGGAAGATGAAGCTGTGTGTGTTGATGTGTCATATAAAGAAGATGGTGCCTATTGTTATGTTTTAGAAGTGAGTGTAGAGGAGATGACTACTTACTGTAGGTGGGAACGAGGAGGTGGCTGTGTGTTGAGGATGGTATTGCTGTGTTTTGGAATTACAGGCAGCATGTAAGTTAACGACGGAATCACAGGAGGTTCCTGTGAGGTTATTACTGCTTTGTTTTGAATTTGGAAAAAGAGGAGGTAGCTGATGGAGGCAGGCGTGACTGGGTCTTACAGGAAATTGGGCACATGTCTTCATTCATCACTGTCAGCATCTCCTGGGTTAACTCTAGATATAGAGAGGCTGGCTACCACCTGTCTGCAGCTCTCCATGGATCAGGGCTGTCACACACTGTGAGCTCACAGTGTGGGTGTGGACTAGCAGCGGGCAGGGTCAGTGAGACCATTACACTGGGAGGAAATGTATGAATGTACATCGGTGTGTGTGTAACTGTGTATCTATATTTTTAATTTATTTGTCACTGTGTACGTTACACCCCTTGACTATATTGGCAAGTTTGTGTGTCATTGTCAGAGGCTACATAACTGCGAAAGTGCAGATTGTAGCTAAGTGGTTGGGGTAATGCATTTTAAACTGAAATGATATACGGTACATCAGGAGCCAAATGGTTGCGCTTAGTTAGGGAGCACTCACAGTCAGAGAGAGGAGGTGAAGCCAGGACATTTGAAGTAGTCCCACTGTATGTGCATTTAATTGAACATGTACCTGTTTGGTCTTGAAAATGAGGTAAGTGCTGTCTGTTCAGGAATAAAGACTGTTTGTTTTGCATATTTATGTTTATTGTACTTACTACTCCTTTTTTAATTATTGTATCTGTCCTCGTATAACCCCGTTGTTGATTTTCAGTCTGTAACAACTATCTTTCCCTGCCCCCTACGCACTCTTATATCTCTCACCAGTTATCCCAATCTCACTTTCTGGCTCTATATCTCTCTTTCTTGCTAACCATTTACTTTTGAACATTCTCTGCCACCCCTTTAAAGTTCTTCCGTGTAGTCTTTTCGGTTTTCGTTTGTTCTTTTATGCCCCCAGGATTGTTTTCCATTTTATTTCTGATCCCATTCACACTCTCACTCTCTGTTCAGATTATTTCGCCATTCTTTCTGTATTTTTTATGCCGTTACTATCTGTGCTTCATTCTTCCACCAAGTATTTTCACCATCCTTATCGCACATTTTCTCAGTTTTCTTCTTCCCTTCTTTGTTTTCATTTATCTCATATCCATTTTCTTCTTTCAGTTTACCTGCCAGTTCTTATTAAAAGTTCTGGAAATGATTATGCCATGCCTTATAGAATTACCTTCACATCATTTTTGTTTTCTTTCTCTTGTCATTGCTCGAGATTATACATTTTTCTCCATTCATTATGCCTTCATTGCTCTTTTCTCTCTCTACCAGCTACTTCTCTTCTCCCCCTCTCTAGAGGTTTTACTAATACATTCCTAACTTCCCAGAACAGCTGCTTGCATGATGGATATATTAACCCTTTTCTGGATTTGTCATCTGGACAGTAATATGCATTGGTTCCTGTGTCATCTCCCTCCAGGGGTCGGCGGAGTCCTATACTAGTCGTCCGTCTGATTCTGATGTTTCCCTGGAAGAGGATAGGGAGGCTCTGAGGAAGGAAGCAGAACGTCATGCTCTTGCACAGCTTGAAAAAGCAAAGGTAGGAATGCTTTGTGGGGCACTGTTGGAGGAGGAATTGTTGAAATGCGTTGGTAGTAGAAAAATTTACGAAAGTGAAAACAGGAATTTAAAGTTTTAATTTTAAATTTAGAAGAAGACCCAAACTGGAATAAGTGAGAATATTTCTAGTTCAGATGTTTTGACCTTAAATTTGAAATTCACATTGAATTCCCAAGAATTCTCACTTTATAAATAATCCTGTGTGATTTTCAGTACATTGCATTGGTGGTTGAATGCAGGTTTTGCATTCTATTCTATGTTGGTTTAGAATACAGCGCTACAGAACTTGTTGGCGCTTTATAAATAATAATAATAATAATTAAACTGTTAAATTAAGATTATTCCCTTGGGTGGGATTGTTCAAAGGGTCAAATGTAAGAACAATTAAGAGGAATAGATCTAATTGTAGAGCATTTAAGAGAATTGTTTCATTGGTTGCCACGGTGATTGTTTTACACTTAGCCCTCAGCCCGTATTAACTGATTATTTCATATTACCCAATGTCTCCCTTGTATTTCTTTTGGTATAATATCGGGAAATACATATGTGCATGGATACTGAATACTTACTGCTGTGAATCTATGTGAGTGTCTTATATCTCTAAGATGGCATAACTGAACATTTTCTGCCATCGAAACAGACGAAGCCTGTGGCCTTTGCAGTCCGAACGAATGTGGGTTACAACCCGTCCCCAGCAGATGATGCTCCAGTGCAGGGGATGTCTATTAACTTTGATCCCAAAGACTTCCTTCACATCAAGGAGGTAAACATTTAAGCATGCTATGTGATAGTGAGGGAACACAGGATATCCCCACCTCACTAAGGAGGTAAGATGAAAGCCTGATTATACTACTCCTTGAGGAGGGTTTCATTCTGGGGAAAGTTTTTTATTTTTTTAAATTTTACTGTGTATATGTCTGATTTCAGAAGACGGTTCTTTTAAGCCAAGCCCTTATTGCTATGTGATACCCTCTGTTCTTATTAAAAACACCATACCATTTTGCCTTATTCAACCTTACAATTCCATAATTGACTTTCGCTATCTGTCATGGTTTCCTAGAAATATAACAATGATTGGTGGATTGGCAGAGCTGTGCGAGAGGGTTGTGAAGTTGGGTTTATTCCCAGTCCTGTCAAGTTAGAACATATGAGAATGCTCCAGGAGCAGAAGATGAGACAGAGCCGACTCACTTCCAGGTGACTGCATCATTCCAGCTTACTCTGTCTACTCTTCTTCTCTTTCCTTCTTTTTATCCGCCTTTCTTTCCGCATCCACACATTTCTATGTTTTTTTTGGGGGGGAGGGTTGGTATATCGCTCCCTGTTTACCTATCTCTATCCTTTCTTTCTTGACTAATTTATTTTTTCTCTTTTGCAGTAAATCTATTGGGAATTCAAACAGTTTAGGCGATGTGGTCAGTGGGACTCGTAGGCCTACTCCACCAGCCACAGGTAAGATCATTTCTGTATAACCTCTTCATACCACGTTTACGCCACCTGGCAACCACAAAGTGACACACCATTGCAGACTTCCACTACGCATAATAATTTATATTTAGATAACACAGACGAAGAGTGAAAGGGCATCAATAGATTCATAGTATGTGTATAGGCGGTTAAGAGTAAAGTCAACAACAGTAGGACAATACGCTTATCTAGAGAAGGGATGAAGGAGACATGGATAATTCTAGCCTAGAACGGACTAGTGACCCATATCTATGCTGTTAATCTGCACATAATTTCCTCTTGTCCACCACACAGCCTGATCTCCTTCCTATCACATTTTGCCAATTCATCTTTTCTTTTCTTTTTTCCTCCTTCTTTTTTTCTTGGTGTTTTTTTTTTCCACCCTGTATATTCTTCCTTCTTACCCTTTTCCCAATACATCTATTTACCTGCCTATATGTACCTCGAACTGTTTTTTTCTAAACACTTTCCATGTTTTCCTCTTTACCGCTGTTTTACTTCTATGTTAAACCCGCCAATTTCTTTTACCCATCACTTTATTATACATTTCATTGTCTTTTTTATCTCTCATCACATTTTACCTTTTTTTTCTTTGCTTATCTACTTGCATATTTAACCACCTCAATCTCCATTAACCCCCTTTACTCCTTTTACTTTTGTATCTTCTGTTTTCTATTCGTCATTCTCTAAATTCCATTTTTCCAAACTTCTTCTCTCTCTTTTTCTCCTTGCCAAAATGTCATCACTTGTCCCTTCCTGTTTTTCTATGTAATGTGCATCCAACCTTCCCGTCTTCTTCCTACACCTTCCCTCCCACATCTCCAGGTCGTCCGGATTCCCCTTTAGTTTATGATATAGATCACGTTGATTTAGAATTTGAGGAAAATGAAGCTCAGGGTGTTCAGCGAACACCTCTCAGCAGCACTGGGAGCGTAACTACTCCCCCATCTACTACCAAACGTGGCCCTTTCTTTAAGAAGGTAATCTCTCTCCCCTGGTGTATAACTAACACTGCTCACCCCGCAATGTGTGCTGCTTGCTCTATACTGATATAAACTGGCTCCAAAATAATTGTTTTTCGGAAAGTGAAACCAGGTTGAACAATATGCATGTTTTGATTATACATTTGTTTTTTGCATTGAAAATACAATGGGGTGTTTTAAAAATGCTGTGTTTGTATTAGTGACTGTATCATGTGTGTATTTATACCTTAGTATAGATCCGTACATTTATACAGTTGTACATAGATGGATAATTAAGTGTGTGCTATGTGCAATAAAACAGGAATGACATCTTAAAAATAGTCTTGGCGTAATTCTCTTGATATATTAGTATTTCCTTGAGTACTACTCTGTGGGCTAAAATTTCAGTGGGAGTTTAAATCATCAAGCGGTTTATCAGATGTATCATATAATACTGATCAATTGTGACTAAGTGGAGAAAACATTTTTTATTTCTTAATTCACCTCCAAGTTTTAAAAAAAAAGTGCAAACCAAGTTAGTAATGCACATAAACTCAGAAAAAATAAACAGATACTGGGAGTCTTATATTATTAATATTGCCATTTATATAGCGCCAACAGATTCCATAGCACTTTACAATATTATAAGAGAACAATTACAAGAAAACTTCCAGGAACAATAGGTTGAAGGGGACCCTGCTCAAACGAGCTCACAGTCTATAGCAGGTGAGGTATAAAACACAATAGGACAGGAAATAGCAATCAAATAAGGTGGGAGTGAAGCAGAGCTGGAGGAGAGAGCAGAGTGCTCCCTTTTAGCAGAAAGCAAGGGACAGGTATGTGAGAAAGAGGTTACTTTGGGAGGACATAAGCTTTCCTAAAGAGATGGATTCAAAGGCACTTCTTAAACGATTGAAGACTAGGGGAGAGTCTAATGGCTGTAGGTAGGCCATTCCATAGGAAGGGCGCCACCCGCGAGAAGTCCTGCAAGCGTGAGTTGGCCATCCGGGTGCGAGTAGCAGACAGGAGAAGGTCATGGGCAGAGTGGAGAGACCGAGAAGGGGCATACCTATGGATCTGTGAAGAGACATAAGAGGGGCTAGAATTTTTCAATGCTTTATAGGTATGGGTTAGTACTTTGGATTGACTCCTATAGGATACAGGAAGCCAATGTAAGGACTGACAGAGGGGTGAGGTGTGAGAGGACCGACGAGAGGAAAATCAGTCTGGCGGCAGCATTCATTACAGACTGTAGCGGGGCAATACGGCTTTTGGGAAGACCAATTAGAAGAGGGTTACAATAATCCATGTGGGAATTACTAGAGCACGGACAAGCTCCTTAGTAGCATCTTGCGTAAGAAAGAGGTGGATGTGGGCTATGTTTTTAAGATGGAATCTACAGGATTTGGTAACCTACTGGATGTGAGGCCAGAATCAAGTAATATAGTAATACAGGATGAGAAAAAGACTCAAGTGTTTTAATTTCACTCATTAACATAGATGGACCTTTTTTGGTTCTGTATTTTTTACAGTTGTCTCTGGAGGTGAGAATTTATGCTACTTTGGAAGATTAAAGGAACACTATAGGGTCAGGAACACAAACATGTATTCCTGACCCTATAGTGTTAAAAACAGAATCTGCCCTCCCTATATATAGTAAAATATTACTTGTATTTAAGTCTGCTGCTGTTGGCTCTGCCCCTGATCTTCCTGCTTGGCTGACATCAGAAGTGATTCTCTGAGCCATTCACAATTCTTTCACATAAGATTTGCTGAGACTGTCAAGGAGGCAGATCCAGGGCAGAGCCAGCACAAGTCAAACACATCCCTGGCCAATCAGCATATCCTAATAGAGATGCATTCATTTAGTGCATCTCTATGAGGAAAAATCAGTGTCTCCCTGCAGAGGGTGGAGTGCAATACTGCCCCAGGAAGCACCTCTAGTAGCCATCTGAGGAGTGGCCAGTGGAGGTATCCCTAGGTTGTAATATAAACACTGCATTATCTCTGAAAAGACAGTGTTTACTGCAAAAAGCCTGAAGAGGATGATTATACTCACCAGAACAAATACAATAAGCTGTAGTTGTTCTGGTGACTATAGTGTCCCTTTAAGAAACTTTGTAATGTTAGGAATACAAATATGTATTCCTAACACTAGAGTGCCCTAGTCACCAATTAGGGACAAGGCCAGTGCTGCCAGAGTTCAAAAGATTATCTACTTACCCAGACAGGAACCAATATAAAAAAATAAATGTGTCTAGTTATATTACTGTACGAACAGAAGCACTTTAGGTGGCAGTAAAATATATATATATGTGTAAGTATGTTTATGTGGTAGAATTAAAGGGACACTCTAGGCACCAGAACCACTGCAGCTTAAAGGGTTACTCCAAGTATTATGACCACTTCAGTGATTTGAAATGATCATGGTTTTTGAAGTCTCTATGTGCAGCATTTCACTATGAAACACAGCACATACCCTCTGCTGCCAAAGGTGTAACTCCATCTCTGGCTGTGTCATAAAGGTGTCATTAGTCAGCCCGGACTAGAGTTTTGTTGCACAGAATAACAGTCTAAGAACACTCAGCTGACACTCTCCGCTTGTAAATGGCAACTGCCCCAGCTTCTGTCTTCTGAAGGTGTGCAGAAGCCCGAAGTTCGTCACTGGACCCCTAGGGAGTATTGGAACCCGGTGGGGACCCAGGTAAGGGGGCAAACTGTTACTAAATAGTTTTCCCCATTACAGAGGATCTGGACCTGGGTATTCCTGGCATCATAACCACTACAGCAAGCAGCAAGGTGTAGTGGATATGATACTTGGAGTAATCCCTTAAGGGACCACTATAGTGCCAGGAAAACATACTCGTTTTCCTGGCACTATAGTGCCCTGAGGGTGCCCCCACCCTCAGGGTCGCACTCCTGCCGGGCTGAAGGGGGAGGAAGGTGGTTAAACACCTACCTTTCTCCAGCGCCGGGCTCCCTCGGTGCTGGAGACTCTCCTCCTCCTTTCCCAGTCATCGGCTGAATGCGCATGCGCGCGCATTCAGCTAGTCTCATAGGAAAGCATTCTCAATGCTTTCCTATGGACGCTGGCGTCTTCTCACTGTGAAAATCACAGTGAGAAGCGCGGAAGCGCCTCTAGCGGCTGTCAATGAGACAGCCACTAGAGGCTGGATTAACCCTAAAGTAAACATAGCAGTTTCTCTGAAACTGCTATGTTTACAGCAGAAAGGGTTAATCCTAGGTGGACCTGGCACCCAGACCACTTCATTAAGCTGAAGTGGTCTGGGTGCCTATAGTGGTCCTTTAATATAGTGGTTCTATGGGAAAGAGACTGTTTCTTTTTGCTTAGGAACGTAAATGCTGCCTTTTTGAGAACATCCTCTAGGGGGGGCTTCCTGGATGTCCAAAGATATTAGCTTCCATAGGCTCTGTATGGAAGCGCTGAACGCTCCCAATCGAGATACATTGAGTCAATTGTGGCAATGGCCAAAGCCTTCTAATGCTTTCTTAAGGGGCGAGACCTGCGCACCAGCAAATAAGGTAGTTTTAAAAGCTTATTTAAAAATCTGGTGCGTGGAAGGTAGGGGTGTGGATATCTAAATTGTCCCTATATCATTCTAACTTTGGGAATACATGTTAGTATTCCTAACTTTAGAGTGTTCCTTTATGTGTTAAAGGAGTAATCTATGCACCATAACAACTTTATGCAAATGAAATTGTTATGGTGCTAGAAGGACCCCGGATTCACTGTTACCTTAAGGGGTTAAACCGTCCTCGAACAGTTTAACCCCAAAGTTGCTTCCAGCGCCAATCTCAACTCCCCCAGGCTGTATCCGGCTTCTGATATTTTAGTTTCAGGAAGCGCAGTGTGCCGCCTTGCAGGTGCGCCGCTAGTCAGCTAAGACCAGTCGGCAGACGCTTCCAGCCAATCAGTGACAAAACTAGCCTGCTATGGTGCCTAATCTGTCCCTCTAAGGCAGGCTTCCCCAAACTCCCCTGCCCTACAGATGTTGCTGAACTACACCTCCCATGATTCTATGAATTAAATAGATAGGCTGAGAATCATGGGAGTTGTAGTTCAGCAACATCTGGAGGGCCGGAGTTTGGGAAGCCTCCTCTAAGGTGTGTGTGGGTCTTGTTTCTCCCTGTGTTTTGGACTGATGTGTATGCTTAGAATTGTACTATGTTTATGCTAGGAGAGATGACCCGTAATAATCTCTAGCAAATGTATTACAAAATAATTGTCCCTGATTCTCCGATAACCCTAACCTCTATCACAGAGATGTCACAAGAGAAAACATATACTTCCACTTCCTTATCCAAGTGCTTGCACGTCATATGACCACTGAGGCACGTTAGACAAGTCTGCATCTCCTTCCCAGCTTTGGCATCTAGAGCCTTATTGACTAAACAGTGAATGGAGCTGCCAGTTAGCTGATAGTATGTGGAGTGATTAATGGAACTACGTATCCTGTACACTCAGCTCTCATTAAAGGGACACTATAGGCACGCAGACCACTTCAGCTCATTGAAGTGGTCTGAGTGCAGTGTCCCTATTGCACTTTGTGAGAAACTGCAATGTTTACAACTAAATCTGCCTCTCCCAGACAGCCATTGGAGGTGCTTCCTGCATCCAAACGGACCTTTGGTCCGGTAACTAACGTTGGACGTCCTCACTCTCTGCATGAGGACATCCAGCGTCAGATTTTTTCCCTATAGGAAAGCATTGCTTTTTAATTCCAGTGTGTGCAGGACATTTGCTTTCAATGAGCATTAGCACCCACTTGTCGCGGGACGTCGGAGGAGGAGCCGCTACCCAGCGCCAAGGGATATCAGCACTGGGAGGAAGGTAAGTAGATAAATGATTTTTAACTATTTGTTCACCTGGGCATGGGGGAGGCAGAGGGAGCTATAGTGCTAGGAATACGGCTTTGTATTTCTTTAAAAATGAAATGTTACAAAATACAGATTAAGGAACTTAAAATCTCCCGTCTCAAAACAAAATCTTGGCCCTGTTAAATCACAGACATATTAGTTTACTATAAGGATACACTATATTGATGTGTTTTACTACATGTGTTTTTGTCTTTTGTAATTACCAAAGCACTACCTGATAGCCAATATACAATCATGGTTTCATAGTCATGACTTACAATAACAAATTACTCATTTTCTGTGTATAGTTTACAGCACTGAATTTTTTAGTTTGTACGTAAATAGGAGCATGTTTTTGAGTGACTATGTGTCTTTGACAACAAAAATAACAAGCATGGCTTGTTTTTCTTTTTTTATTCTGTTTTCACTGTCATTTCTTTTTCTTATTCCATCCACATATACATATCTTTTACTGGTTTCCCAACGCGTTTTTCCTTTAACCCATCACCACTCTTTCACCACTCCTATTCTGTGCTTCTCTTTATCTGTCCTTCACTTTTCTCGTTTTTCGCCCTCCCTTACTGCATATTTACTATCATGTCCAATGCCTTTTCCATCACAAACTTTCTCCATCCCCAAAATATCACACACTCTCCTTCTCCATTTCTTTCACTGCTATAGCCAAACAGAGGCAGAAGTCAGTAAGTAAATATCCATGAATGTACCGTGATGTGTTTGGTATTCTTTGTGCCCTCTATATAATGCATGTTGTGGTGTTATGTGTGTACACGCTGATGTTGTGTTAGTAGCATTAAATATATATTACATTTTACAATATTATTTGAACATGTTAGACTACGGATTCGGTGCTAATGGGGGATACCCAGATTGTTTATGACGCAAAAGTAATGAATAATACATTAACACATCTTTTGTCTTGCAGACAGAGCACATCCCCCCATACGATGTGGTTCCTTCCATGAGGCCAATCATTTTAGTTGGACCTTCATTAAAGGGATATGAGGTGAAATCTCAGGGGATTAATATACCAGCCTTCTATAGAGTATTGCTATTTTTTTTTTGTCTGTAACTGTTTTAGTTCCAATTTGTATGTCTCTTCAGCATCACTTACCATTAAGCTCTATTGGTTTTTCATTTTCTGCACTTTTTTGATTGGTGATTTTCCTTTAGTCTTCATGTTCTTCTACTTCTGTTTTTCTAGAGTTCCTTTCTAGAATATTTTTATCTCATCTGTTATCAGTTCTGTTTCCTCTTCCTTTTACAAAAGTACTGTGGAATAAGTTGGCGCTGTATATAAATACCAATAATAGTAATAATACTGTATCTTACATTTATTTTTATATAATGCCTTCCACGTTGTGTTACATCAATTCTCTCCATTTCCTACAGCATTCTAATTGCTCTTTCTACCATGTCAGAACTCTACTCTACCCCCATTGAGAACCATATCCTAATGCATTTGTTTCCTAATACCCACATTTTTACATTTGTGCCCGTCCTTTGCTTGCAGGTCACAGATATGATGCAAAAAGCTTTGTTTGACTTTCTAAAGCACCGGTTTGATGGAAGGTATGAAATTCTACTAATTGCATATGATCATTTTATAGGCATCCTGTGGGTCAGTTAACAATAATCACTATGTGTAGCTGGATATCAAAGCATCGACAAAATAAGTAATCGATATAGGGGCCTGTCCTTTAACTATTGTGTTGTAGTGATTTAAAAACATAGTGGAAACATTTAAGTCAAAATAATAAAGTTAGTTTAAAAAATCAGTTTGCGAAGTTGGAAAATTCCTCAAGTGTCTTTGTTGCCCTTTATTTTGTTAGTCAGCTGTTAACTAACCTCTTACTGTTTAATGCATCAGGTAGCAAAGTACACACCATTTAAAGTGGCACTGTCACCGTCTGGGGACTTTGCCGAATTTGCAAAGTCCTCCAAAGGTGACATCACCACTGGAGGTCCGGTGGCCTGGGTAGGGGGGAAGGTAAAGGTGAGATTTACTTACCTGAAGTTTCCAGTGGATCCTCTTCAAAGCCAACGTCACTGCTGTACAGCATTGAGGTCTATGGAGGATCCCACCATCACTGCTGACGGTTGTCGGGATTGACACTTACAAACGGCCCTAAGTCTCAGAAAGTCAGGCGAAGGAGAAATACAGAGATAAAGTAGTCCCTACTTTGTCTCTTTATGTCTCTTTACACAGTGAAGATGAACATTTCATAAATATTATATCTTTATGAAATACTAATTTCTCTGGGGGGGGGGGGTGACAATGCTGCTTTAAAGCTACTACCACAACCATAATAGTTGTTTATTGGCATATAGAGTGGTTTCATTTTTAATCCAGTAGATGTAAAGAAAGTTAAAATGGTGTGGTTTAACGGTTTTAAAATGGTTCACCTGTTTCCTGTGTACCAAAAAAAAAATCTAAACCGCGTAACAGCCATGGTTTGCTTATGATAGAGCTCAGTTGAGGTTGTTTTTTCAGCTGTTCGCTGTCAGACTTGTACAGTCTTCAAGTGTTACTTACAGTGAACCCAGCATCTAAATGAAATGCCTTGGGGACATGTAGTATTGTGTAAAAAAAATCAGGCCTGGGTATTAATGAATGCAAGTTCAATGTCAGGCATATAGCTGATGCCAGTTTTAAACCATTAATAGGGACAAATGTCCTGATGTAACATTATTTGAAGTGCAGCAGGAGAGAGGGTCAGTAAGGAAGAGTTATAACCTGTATTTGTAGGAGAGGCTGTAAAATTTGCTCAAACCTTGTTGAATTTTCTTCATGTTAGAATTCTGCAGGTGAAAAGAGGGGGGTTATATGCCCTACTTAAACTCACTGAGTCAGCTTCTTTTCGTACTAAATAGCTGATTGTGTAGGAGGGTTAATAGACCTACTATAACAAGCAGGGCACAGCTGTGCATGTTTGTGGTAAATTCCAGCCTGTGTAAGAAGGGCTGGAGGTTCTGTTTAATCCCACAAATGTGCAGTTTAATTCAAGTCACATAGTTTGAGAAGTCACTCCATCCAAGTCATATTTTATTATTATTAATATTATTGTTATTAATATAGCGCCAACTAATTCTTCAGCCCTTTACAACATTATGACAACATTATGATGGGGGGGGGGGGTAATTAAAATAAATGAGACAATTACACAGTGACACAGGAACAATAGGTAGATGATGGCCCTGCTCATACGAGCTTACATTCTAGGTCACAATCCGTTAGGTTAGGTCTCTAATCGTTCACTAGTTTGTAGATCACACCTAGGTTCCTAATTACCGTGGTTAAGCCATAGTTCATCCCAGAATACAAATGTAAACCAGAACCACAAACTATATTCTTATTCTTTATAATATTATTCTATATAATGTTTAGCCTAGGGGTCAAAGCGGGACATTTGTTAATTATGGACGTAAGTCTTTAGATAAGTTTTTAAATAATAATAACCATAGTATTCGTTGAGCTGCTATAAATCTGTTGAATCTCTGATAATCAATGATTATTTTTTGATTACCAATAGCATACTAACCTAAATGTTTGGATGTTGATGTATCCTACTTGCTGACTCGGTTGAGTAATGGGGTAGAAGTCTGGTGCTTTATGGTCTCAGGATTTTGATTTCATAGAAATATACACTGCTATGTAGGTTTTCTAGAAGAGCTCGAAAGAATATAGACATAGGAAAAATCAGATCCTGCAAGGGACAATTTTTAAAGGAATATTCCAGCGAAACATTTTATATATATATTTGTGGTTGGGGCAATATTGCCGTAATAGTTAGATAACACATAATTAGCAATAAACGTCTTACTCAGTAGCACCGGTCAGTTGTGGTGTGCCGGAACCGATGATGTAGTAGGCCTGTAATAAAGAGAGCAAAAACAAGTGTACCATACAAATATATTCGTTCAACAATGCCTCAAAATTACTTGGAGAAGTAACGATATGCCTGACAAATCCCTAACCGGTTCCAGTATAGATAATGTATAAGAGGATGATTGCCAGTGTCCCATGCCCGCGGTTGCCGAGTCCGGCCGTAATTCGTGGAGTAGTCCTGGCTTTAAGGGATGCCGGACAACTGTGTATACTCTGCGAGATGGAGCACCAGACCTTGCAGAGGTGTTGGGTAGAGACTGTCCCCCAGTGACTTGGGAACTCAAGGCATACGATTTATGCAAAGCCACCATTGGTATAATCCTTATAACATACTGGCAGGCTAGCTATTGCCAAGTGGTGAAGAATTTAACTAATTAGGGTGACAGGTGAGGTCCTGCTTGTTGTCAAGCGGCATGAGAGGCTCTATGTGTTGACCCGCGGGGAGGTAGAGGCCACCAAGACGCGGGTGGCAGGGTGATGGCCTCTCGGAGACTACTAAAAATAAGATAGAATGGGAGTGACAGGTGAGGCCCTACCTATGCAACAATGCGAGGCGAATAACTATGCGGTGGGCCTATGGCGTTGTCCTCCGAGTATGAGGGGTATCTCCGAGCATGAGGATGGGACCACTAGACTATGGCATAGAGGCCAGAAACCTATCATAGTGGGCACCTAGATCCCTAACAACCCGTACTATCTGCTAATAGTGGACCTCAGCGTGGGCCGGATCGTGCACCCGTGGTAGAATAAGTGAAAATGACCTACCCCCCTGGTGGACACGAGACAAGAAAGGCAAACACTGCAAAGAAGGATGAGCTTCTCGGCAGAACCACGGTTGGACAAAGCGTGCCCCTAAGAGAAGCGGCCCGAGCCTGAACCATAGAGGAGGGAAACCGAGGAGGGTATAGGATTATGGCCAAAAAAAGGAAACGACCAGCGGACAAGAACCAGCAGGCGACAACGGAGAATGAGCAGAGACCAGGCAACCAGAGCATGAAACACGCTAGCGACCATCACGAATGCGCAACCAAGAGACCCAAAAACGCACAAAATTTAAACAGGGCACGGGGTAAACCAGACGAGCGTTAATAGGCGAAACGCAAAGCAGTTTGGCTGTCGTGTTCGCCTATTAACGCTTGTCCAAAAAAAAAAAACAGACCCACCCGACAGCACAGCAACCCACCCAGCCTGGAAACCTAGGTAAGAGTAACTCGCCCGGCCAACCACAACCAACTACATGCCCAGCCTTAAATATATAGTGTAGATTGAATTGGCCGTATTAGTCCAGTAGACAAGATGCCAAAATACCAGAGTATTGCAGTATGTAATGATACCTTTTTTATTGGACTAACATAATATTTCAAAGACAAGCTTTCAAGAGTTTTCCTCTCTTCCTCAGGTCTAAAGCAGTACTGATCAATTTGATAGAGTTTAACACTTAAAACAACTGATGTTAGAGAAGTGGAGGTGGGGGGGGAAGGGAGAGGGTCTCATAAATAGCAGAAGATGTGCCTGAAAGTGAAAGGTGGAAATTGTCTGTCAATAGCCAGAAAAAGTAAATAAACAGAGCATAAGCTAGTTAAAAAGAAAGAAAACAGCATAGCAGAGCATGCAAATATATAGCTGCATATATGTATGTATCTAAATTGATCAAATAAAGGTGAAGCGAAAATATTAGCCAGTCGTCCTCTGTGCCCTGTAAATCAAGAGGGAAATTTAATATATTAGCATTTTGAGTGCAAAACTTGGACATCCCGCATGATATTTATTGTTACAAAAAAAAAGCTCACTAAGTTGGATTCCTACAATTCCTGTTAAAAAGAGGCACAAGGAAATCTGTGCACCTGAAGATTTTCAAAGGGATATTTATGTGTGTCTGTTTTTACTTAAACCTAATTAGTATATTGTAAAGCAGTACATAATCTGTTGGCACTATATAAGTGGCAATAATAATACATCCTAAGCATTGTGCATCTTAGGCATCATAGATCAGGCCAAAACAAAGGGGGTTTCCTGTCTGCAATAAGTGTATGCAGGGAGGAGAAGCAAAAGGGCAAAAGATATGGTGAGGCCAAGCATTTTACAACTGGTTAGATTGTATATGTTTCAGCATTGCAAAAACACTACCAATAGCATACATTATCATCAGATTTGTCATCAAAGCATGTCCAGATCATTCTCTTTTGACAATATGTAGTTTGTTCTGAGCCAAGCTATTGACCTATGGTTTTGTGTGGTTCCTGTCATCTACAGAATCTCCATCACTCGTGTTACTGCTGACATCTCTCTAGCCAAACGCTCTGTTTTGAACAATCCGAGTAAACACAATATCATGGAACGATCCAACACCCGCTCCAGTCTTGGTGAGATTGCAACAGACAGGTTGGGTTTATTGATAATGGTGACAGCACAGATTATTTGGGGTGTGCAATAATTTAACCTCGATTTGTCTTGATTTACTATATTATGGATGCACTTTTAAAATTATTTTTACAAAATATAAAAATACCAAAAAATACACTGATTAGCCACAACATTAAAAGCACTGACCGGTGAAGTGAATAACATTGATTATATCGGTACAATGGTGTCTATCCAGGGGTGGGCTATATTAGTCAGCAAGTAATCAGTCAGTTCTTGAATTTCATGTGTTGGAAGCAGGAAAAATTGGCAAGTGAAAAGATCTGTGTGACTTTGATAAGGGCCAAATAGTTAAGGCTAAATGACTTGGTCAGAGCATCTCCAAAACGGCAAGGAAGGACAAAAAGTAAACCAGCGTCAGAGTCATGGGCACCCAAGGCTCATTGATGCACGTGGGGAGCAAAGGCTATCCCGTCTGGTCCAATCACCCAGAAGAGCTAATGTAGCTCAAAGTGTTGAAAAACGTAATGCTGGCCATGATAGAAAGGTGTTTAGAACACACAGTGCAATACAATAGCCGCAAACCAGTCAGAATGCCGAAAGCGCCTTCAATGGGGACGTGAGTGTCAGAACTGGACCATGGATCAGTGGAAGAAGGTTGCCTGGTCTGATGAGTCACATTTTCATTTCGATCAAGTGGATTGCTTTTGGTGCGTGTGCATTGCTTACCTGGATAGAGAGAGCAGCAGGATGCATTATGGGAAGAAAGCAGGTCAGCAGAGCCAGTTTTATGCTCTGGTCAATGTTTGGCTGGAGAACCTTGGGTTCAGGCATTCATGGGAATGCTACTTTGAAATGTACCTCATAACTTAAAGGATCTGCTGCTACTGTCTTGGTGCCAACCACAGGGTACATTCAGAGGTCTTGTTGAGTCGATGCATCAGGGCAGTTTTCAAAGCACAAGAAGGACTTACATGATATTAGGCAGGTGATTTTAATGTTGTGGCTGATCAGTGTATGTCATACATATCAACGAGCGTTCACAAGGCACTTCTACAACTTATTCAACGCTGTAGGGTTATAAGAAACTGTAAGGTAAACTCACAACACCATGTACGCCAGTGAACAGAATTGTGATGTAGAAAAAAAGTTATAACACTACCACACATCTCTATGTTTCGTTGAAAAACTTTATCAAGGCCGAAATATGTAGACGTGTGGTAGTGTTGCTGATCCTTCTTGCTCTACATCACAGTGGTGTTTACTTGCCTACATGGTGCTGTGAGTTTACCTTACATATTGTTCTAACCCTACGGGGTCAAGTGCCTTGTGGATGCCCTTCATTTTTATTATTTGCATATTGGTGTGACCTTCCTTCTGGACGTCGGAGGTGTTAATACCAAGATTGTTATTTTACATGCTGCCTGTGTTTTATTCTTTGTCACTCATGTTTAATTTTTCAGAGAATTCCATTATTTAGATTTAAAGGGACACTATAGTCACCTGAACAACTTTAGCTTAATGAAGCAGTTTTGGTGTATAGAACATGCCCCTGCAGCCTCACTGCTCAATCCTCTGCCATTTAGGAGTTAAATCCCTTTGTTTATGAACCCTAGTCACACCTCCCTGCATGTGACTTGCACAGCCTTCCATAAACACTTCCTGTAAAGAGAGCCCTATTTAGGCTTTCTTTATTGCAAGTTCTGTTTAATTAAGATTTTCTTATCCCCTGCTATGCTAATAGCTTGCTAGACCCTTCTATTTAGAGATTGAGATACAATTATTTAAGGTAAATTACATCTGTTTGAAAGTGAAACCAGTTTTTTTTTTTCATGCCCGCTCTGTCAATCATAGCCGGGGAGGTGTGGCTAGGGCTGCATAAACAGAAACAAAGTGATTTAACTCCTAAATGGCAGTGAATTGAGCAGTGAAATTGCAGGGGAATGATCTATACACTAAAACTGCTTTATTTAGCTAAAGTAATTTAGGTGACTATAATGTTCCTTTAACCTTGCAACTGGCCCCTAGTTCATTCCAGTGTCTAGTTAAATTACAACGGGAAGCACTTTGCCCTTCCTAGAAAGAAAAAGAAATCACAGTCCTACTTACAAGATTCAAAATGTCAGGATGACTTAATCTCATGAATAACTAAATGTAACATTGTGAGACTATATAATATGGAATACTGTAGAGTGCACACAGAGTGACCAATGCATTTAGTTATGTGATGGAACAATTAATTGGTTTCTTTTGGGAATGACGAGCATATGTACGCCGCTACTGGTCACAGGGCTACGTTCTAGCTAACATGGCTATTTCCCATTTTGAAAATTAAGGTGAAGGTAGTGTAACCAGATATTCCAAATATCAAAACATATTGGAATTAGAACATCCAGCCTGGGTGAAATAGAGTCTTTCTAATTTCTTACTCTCTATCTGTTGTTTTTTGTTTTTTTTTATAATACAGCGGAAGTGCAGAGTGAGATTGAACGTATATTTGAGTTGGCCCGGACACTACAACTAGTTGCCCTTGACGCTGACACAATCAACCATCCCACTCAACTTGCCAAAACTTCACTTGCACCAATTATTGTTTATATTAAGATTACTTCCCCCAAGGTGAGTATTGCAAGAACAGTGATAAAAGGTATAAAAGAGACACAATGGAGTACAGATAAAAAACAGACTTTCCTAATTTGATATGGTAATGGGCAAATTACAAAGTGTGTATTGACAATATTGTACATATGAAATTGAGTATATGTTTTGTAGTTTCCAGTTGTTGTTTTTTACTTTGTTTGGAGTGAAGATCCTTGATTCTTTTCTCCTACTCACCAGTCATGCAACGTTATACCTTCAACACTTTATCTTTGTGGTCTTTACACTCTCTCTCTCTCTTTCTCTCCCATGTATCATTCTGTCCTACTTCTTTCCTCCTTCCTTACTTTCATTGTATACACATTATCTGCCAAGTCACACCTTTGTTTCCTCTCTAGGTATTACATAGATTAATAAAATCCAGAGGAAAGTCCCAAGCAAAGCATCTAAATGTACAGATGGTGGCAGCTGACAAACTGGCTCAGTGTCCCCCGGTGAGTGCTTTTGATGATATGATGAACTCGGTGGAATATATATTTGTAGAAAAGCTTCATATTATCAAGTTTGCTTTTCATAAAACCTAAAAAGAATAAGCTCTATATTAATTTGATATTTCTTTTTTCCTATTTGTGCTCTTCTGGAATGCCTTGCTAGAACTATAATGAGATGGAATGAAAAAGATAAATGATGAAATTCTGTATAGAGGCCAATTTGCTTGTTAATACTAGTCATGTTATTGGGGTGTATCCACAAAGGTCCAACTATTTTTTTTTTTTGAGGTCGGTTCAAGATAGATGCTTAAAGCCAGTGTATATTCTATTTATTCAGAAAGAGCTGAGAATCCTTCAAAGAGTCATCATCCATCCATCCAAAGTCAGTTTATACCGTAAAGAAGCAACCCTTGATGCTTGCCTCTTTATGGCTGTAAAGAATTGTATAGCGGAACCCCTTTTTGGCTGTCCCTTTCCTTTTATTGATTGTTGGCCCTGCAGAGATTTTCCTGTGCCTGGAGTACACAAAACTCTAAGTACCTAGGTATGGACAGACTTTGTTCGGTATGGAAATACCAGCTTACATGTGAACGACTAAAATTCACTATACGAGCAAAGTACCGAATGAACCGGACCACCCTGATTTGAATTATGGATATAATTTACCTCCTTGATTGCTTTCTTATTCCCTTGTACGCACGAACCCGCCACCATTTCGGCAGCCGAACACGTGGCGGCCGCCATTTTAAATCCACGAACAGCGGTGTTTGGTCGTCGAGTGTCTGGAACTGAAAAAGGACACTCGACTAGCCGAACACCGCTAAAACCTCCAGGGCCCGGCGTTCAGTAGGATGAATCCCACGAACTAGGTGATTCATCCGGTTACCGAATGCACTATGGATGTTATAGCAATTCGGGACTTTTGGGGCACGAATGGAGACCGACCGCAGGGCCAGATTTCATGGAACTATTTTCGGCTACTTTGCCCATGCGGTCGGTCAAAACTTTACCTTCCCTTAACTCCCGAACCCCTGGTCAGATCTGGGTGATTTTTGGATATGTTTCTCACCCAGATCAGGGCTACCAAGGGGTACCCTATTTAAGGGCATATTCCACCTATTTGAGTTACATCTGAAAAGTGGGGAAAAATGGGATTGGATAATGTACTAATTGTGGTGAATCCCTCCCTTGCATGGGAGAATCTCATAAAAGCAGGAATGTTGCCATTAAAAGTTAGTTCAACTCCTGATACTGTGTGTCATCCAGTGATTGGGGAAAGTGATGGGATATTATTGGAGTGTATTGCTGATTGTGCTGGATAGTCTCTTGGATGTATTACTTGTTCCTGCATTCTCTTAAAGTACTTGGTGGAGTTTAGCTGTGGGAAATCAGCTCTCCGCTACAAATTGCTCCTTAAAATTGTCAGTTGTCAAGTAATGAATTCAAAGATTGCTGTATAATAAAAAAAATCATCCGTGGTAACAGTATGATGCCAGCACGCAAACACCTGAAGAAAATGGTTGGAGGAACCATGGAGCACTGACTAAAGCTTCATCATCCCCCACACTTTTTCCATCATTATGCAGCGCAAAAAAATGAGAGAGGTGGTCCACAGATCATTTACTAACCTGGAAGTTGATACATGCTCCTGCCTAGCAGAGTGCCCTGTTTCCAGAAGGATATGAGTTACTAAAACTGAAAGAGAACGTCTTCTCTTTTCCCCATGTAATTTTGTGAGAAACAAATAATACAACAAAAAAAACAGGAGTGGGTATTATGTATTTTTTTTTATTTACAATTTTAAATGATGCGTTATGATGCCATGTACTCTGAGAAGTTGAATATTTAAGCTTATCTTCTCTCTTCTGCAGGAAATGTTTGACATCATCCTAGATGAGAACCAGTTGGAGGATGCCTGCGAACACCTGGCAGAATATCTAGAAGCTTACTGGAAGGCCACCCATCCTCCTAGCATCAACCCACCCAATCCACTGCTCAACCGTACCCTGGCCACAGCTGCCCTGGCCTCCAGCCCTGCACCCGTCTCCAACCTCCAGGTGCAAGTGCTCACCTCACTCAAACAAAATCTAGGCTTATGGGGGGGTCGTGGGGAGACTGGAGCACCCACCAGAGTGGATGAGGATACAGTGTAACATGGCTTTAGGAAGCTGCAGGGTACCACACTGCAACATTTTCCTATCTTTTACACGTTCTGCTTACCTGCCCTAATTAATGAAGCCATTAATACTCTGGCAACAGTAATACTAATAAAATGATGTTCTGTGCATTACGTTAGTAATGAAGGGATTGCTGGAGTGGTACTCTGCAGATCCCTTGCATTCAGTGAACCATCAAAGTGGCATACACATCTTTCCATTTACACTGTCACAGTGTTTGGTGGTGAGCTTCCTTGTCATATTTCCACCCCATCTTCTTTTCACCTCCCCCACCCAATCAGATTAAATTGGACATCTTTCAAAGTCTTCTTTCCAGCTGTCTGTCACTTCTGTGTTCCCCCTTTATCCGTGGCATTGCCAGCTGCAACTAGGGTAATTGGTTGGCAGGTAATAAATTGGGGGAAGACACACTTCATAAACTTAGTAACCTCTCTCTGAATGAGAGTGTGCTGTGCCCCAAAAATATAACTTATATTTTCATTTTTTTTGTGATAATTTTTTTTTTTTTTTTTTACATTTGTTTTACTTTTGTGTTTGTAACTAGTAAAAGTATAATAATTTACTCTTGCTTTTAACTAAAGAGATATGGTCGAATTTAGCCAAAATCTGCAGAAATAAAGATTGCCAAAATACATCTGCTAGGGATAAGGACACCCTGACCCAAACACATGGTTGATTTGCAACATTTGTGTTCTAAAGTCTTATTTCCACTTAAAGGGGCAGTTCATTACAGTGGTTATGGTTCTATAAGTGATACCGCTTTTGGTTTTTAGTTGTTTTTTTTTTAATATCATTTGTAAGTGGTTTACAAAAATGGGCTTCTCTAGTGCAGCCCCTTTCCAGTTGCACTGATAATGAAGAAACTACACTTCCACTTTTTCAGTGTCATTCTGTTCTGCACGGCAGTATTAGGCTGAGTGTGCTGGAAGAGGATTAGCCCAGTGCTCTTACCCTATCATAGCCTTAAAGAAACATAACTACCGTAATTCGTTGGGTGTAGTGCATAGAGTGCCCCTTTAATTTGGGACAATTACAATTTGATTTTTTTTTTCTAAACGGAATCTAATATTTATAGGGTTTATATAAATTTCCTACATAAAGCCCTTATATGGGGACATATATTTATATTTTAATTAAACTGACAAATTATGTGTAAAGTTTTAGTTTATATACTGTGACTATTCATAAAGATTTCAGCAATTATATATTTGACTTTTCTTTTTCTGCCAGATTTCTATGGTTTCATTAGGATAGAATGGACTGCCTTATAAAAGAGCTTTATATTTAAGGCTGTGTTGCTGCATAGATGCATTTTACCTCTCACAGGGCCAGTCACTAAAGCTTAAAAAAAAACTGTGGAGATCTGACAGGAGAATTGTAAATTAGGACAAATTGGTCAAGCTTGAAAATCAGCTAAGCTCATATTAGAGACTGTTAATTTTCGTAGTAGATCTCCACATATTTTTTGTGAACTTTCTTTCCACAATTAAAGGCATACTCCATGCCCATAACAACTACAGTTCCCTGTAGTGGATATGGTGCTAGGAGTGCCCTGGTACCCCCATCTTACCTGGATCCCCGCCTCCATTACTAAGTGTGGAGTGTCGGAAGTTCCTAAGCAGGAATCTCTGGTTGCTCTCATAAGCAAAGCCCTGCAGTCAGCCCTACACAGGAGGGCAAACAGATGTTCAATCTTAGGCAGGAAGCACTAGGTAATAAGACAAACTGTTCAAAAACAGTTTGACTATTTTCAGTGAGGTAGTGCCAGGGTACTTGGAGTTTTCCTTTGAAGTAAGCCTAAATATTGAAACCTGGCATTTAGCTCATGTCTTTTAAACACCTGGACTAACAACCGGTTAAGATGAACACCAAAACTTCAGTTCAGTTTTTAGTTTCACACTTGTATAAAATGAGACAAGAAAAAAGCACAAAGAAAATGTGAATGGTAAGTGTGTGTGTACCCATACAATAGTACTTATCTGCACAATCTGAACTTGTGATTGCTTGCTGTTAATGATTACTTAACACCATTTGGCAGATTTTCCTATTCAGAATTCTGTTTCAATACGCAGACATTGCCAAATGTTTGTGGAAACTCTCAATGATGTAGACAGTTTTATAATTCCTAAAACCTAGCCCTGGGAGAAAAGAGAAAATAATATTGTAGGCTCTCCGCAGCCCCAGACCTTTATTTCCGCAGTATATTCATAACAAATATATTAATTGGATAGATTTATAAAACCAGCCTCCAACACATCATGTTGCTTTTCTAACATCTCACAACATGCCACCATTTTCATGCAATCCTCATTCATCTATCACATCCATGAAATTCATAAACATCCTTACCATCAGTTGACTGATCTGGATCTGCTTTTTTGACAGATCTGGATCTGCTTTTAGGTATTTGGGAGAGGGCTAGGACAATACTAACCCATGTATGTAACTGGAGTTACTGTGATAAGGACCGGACAGCGTTATGTACTAAATTAAGCATTGTCAAGAATTCAAAGTGGTTTTTTTTTATATATTTAACATTTAAGGACAAAATAGCCAAACTGGATACATTCTCCAAGTCATCTATACCACCAGTTCGGCTACATTGGCCTTTAATTTGAAATTCACTTTGAATTTCCAACAATTTTTAGTAAAGTAACTAGAGTGGTTTTTAGTGGTGGGAACAGAGCGAGCTTTGAGGAAATATTCAGTGCATGAATCATGATGGATAGTAAAGGGAGACTATATGAAATAGATAGTGGACCATTTCTACTGAACTAGGCCGATGGAATAAATAAAATGTATGCTCGCTCTGTTCATAGAGTTGCGATTTAAAATGTATATGGATAAAATTGTGAATTCAGGTGTTTATTAATTGTGCTATCAGGATCGACAGAACTTATTTTCTTGGATTAAACACTATACTTAACCCAGCCCGGGTCTCTGATGTTCAGACAGTCCCGCAGCCACGATATTTGTAGTTTAGAATTCGGTGTTAAAGCTGTTGAGATATAAGCTGCCGTATTAACCCCTTCAGAACAGATGGTGACCTATCCAACAAAAATGTGGTCTTAAAAGGAACCTCGTAGGAATACATTGGGAAAATCTCAGGGTCATTCTTTAAAGAGTGATTTGTTGTGAATTCAAAGGGAGTTTAAAATTTTATAATACAAACTTGACAATTTACACTTTATAGAATAACCATTTTAGGAATGTTTATTTACCAAGCCTGCATGCAGATTCCCAAGTAACAGAAGGCTTTATCAGCTAATCAATGAGTTTGACAAAATATTAGCCAAGTTGTACTTTTTTCCCAATTTGTTTATTTCCTCAAATTGTTTAACCTGTTTGTTAGTATGTGTGTCAATTCACTCAAACAGTAAATTGTGGTTTACTAACAAGTGAATTGAAAAGTTTAGGGCAAAATAGTACATGTATTGGAAATTTCCAAATGTGGCTATTTTGGCCTCAATACTGCCGTTCTCTTGATAGGTCACCATTAGTCATTGTTTTGGAAATTAAAAAATGTCTTTGAATATGTAAAAGAGAAAAGAATTACCAGAGAGACGTTACATATCTGGGAAACATTAGTGAATGATCAGAAATCAAATTGAAAATATGAATACATTACCATGGATTATTCCTTATGTTTGTTTTTTGTGGTTGTATGGTTTAATGTCTCTGCTTGTCTTTGCTTACTAACTTGATTTGAGTATGTGCATGAATCTAACTGGTGTGCTTTTGTCTCTGCATGCTTTGTCAATGTTACTAACTAGGGTCCATATTTGGTTCATGGGGAGCTGAGGACAGACAGAGCTGATCGGACAGGTGGATACGAGGGGCAGCTACGGAGGGGTCAGATGGGCTCCCGTGTCCTCTCCCGACATGACACACTGGAGTCTGAGACACAAGGCAGCAGGGACTCTGCCTACACGGAGCCAGGAGATTCCTGCATGGACATAGAGACTGACCCTTATGAGGATCCAGAGCCCAAAAGCCACGGGGGCAACTTCCAGGGTGGAGATCATGGTCGGCTCCAACGTCAAGGTTCTTGGGAGGAGCTGGGTCCAGATCAGGAGAATCTGCAACAGAGGAGAAGAAGAGAATCTCCCAGGCCCCAGGGAAAGGGCAGAGAGCAGTACTGGCATGAGGGGGAAGGCAGAAATAGGGGTCAGATGGACAGCTGGGGGCGAGATGTATGCATTCGTTAATGGGCACTTCATAATTAGACCTGGAATTAAAGGGAAGGGGTATCAGATACATCTGTGGTTTTCACACTTCAGCTCCAATGATAAGACACTTTTATCAACCTACAGCTTCATGGCAAAATTAATCTCCGTTAACACACTCTTGTTGCACAGATCTCTCACATGTCTCTCTTATCACTTCATACACACATCTCTTTCTAAAGCTTGACTACCACCTAGCTCTGTCTTATCAATCTCTCAGCACCTCAGGGCTCTTACACATAAGTGTCTGACCTTTCCTGCCTAATCAACACTGCCACCTGGACTGACACGGCCCTGTGACCATATTGGTCATCAATTCTGAACCTTGACCTCAGTGTGCCATTTATTTCCCTTTTCACACAGCTATAACAACACTTTAGGTACACCACTACTGAACTGAGATCTGTTCTTTCACAGTGCCGTGACACTTCTCTCTGATTCGGCGCTAGAACATATAGACACTACCCAAAATACCCTGCTCTAGAACCTCCCCAATGCATAAAGGCTGCCCCGACTTACCTCTTACACTATCACAGCATTCTACGCACTGCACTAGCACTGCCTTCTTGTTCACACACTGCCCACTGACCACACTACCCTAAGACCAACTGTCCGCAACTTCCCTCTCCCTACTGGTCTGTATTACTGCCTCACTGCACTGACCTTCTTCTCCAAACTTGAGTGGGAGGGATAGAAGTCTAAACACAAGCAGATATTTGACCCTGAGATTCCTAATACCACTGCAACCCCTATAAGAATGTGCAACCAGGCCTACCTTGGCCTGAGAACCATAGGGGTGAGTATAGGGCCTTAAGAATTTTTGGACTCCATGTGCCATGGACACAGGTTTGGGCATGAAGACATAGCATACCCCGAATGTATTAGCCCCTCTATGTAAGAGAGGCCTGAAATACTGGACACTGAAGAACTGGCCGCAGCTCTGGAGCCAAGATGGTAACATTTTTACCAATGTGATGCTGTAAAGCAAGGGTGTACAGTAAAAGGAATGCCTGATGTATACCTTGTGCCTGCATATACCGATATTTCTGCCTGCATTTTTTATTCTCCATATTCATTTTTACTCATGTATTCCTTATTGTTAGTACTCAAGGGGTACAAAGTTAATGAATCCACTTCCTCATGGGAAAAGGCATTCCTTGCTTAATATATAATTGTTCCCTTTTATTCATTTAGAGCTAATTTGGAAATGATTGTCAGTTTAACCTAATATCCAACGCCAATGTGGGATGTTTGTTATTTGCACCCGGATGTCCTGGGTGTCTCATAGTTTTGTATGTGTTTTTGACATATTCTGGTGTATCAGATCACATTTACTATACAAACAAATGTAAAGAAACTATTGCACAATACCTCACAGCCTGCTTACACACAAATAAATGTATTTGGAGGAATGCCTGTTTAAATGCCTCCAGCCAGCCATAATTTAGAATCAGGGCACATCACTCCCCAGCTTTTAGCTTTCTGGGTGAACGAAACCAAGAGGGCTGCACTCACCTGTAGACTCATACATTATAAGGGTGCTGCTTGGGACAATTTATACAACATACAAGATCCAGCGCACTCACTCATTCACTAAACCCCAATTTCACAGCTCACATAATGTAATAGTTTTTTGTAGGTTTTTTTTTTTTTTTTTTAAACACCTAAATAGACAAAAATAATTACAGTATATGATCATACATTATTACATAAGCCTGGCAAAACGCAATATATAAAGGATATATAGTTTTTGTGTTTACATTACATTGATGGTTATATGGATTCGAGAACATGGACCTTTAGAGCTATGTAATCCACTGAAAGATCAGATCATACATGACCATTGGTTGACATTGAAAACAGATTATAAAGCATTGCATAAATGATGATATTATGTTACTAAACATACACTTAAAAACAATATAAACACAACTGAAAGTAACTGTATGAGTTTAGATGTGTTAAAGTGAACTTGTAAATCTCAAACTGTGTGAATGACAAGGTCACCCTAAGGTGGGTATATCTTTAATGTATACATTGTGCTGGCTTGTGTTTAGAGTAAAGGATCACTATAGTGTCAGGAAAACAAACCCGGTTTCCTGACACTATGTCATCCTTGGGGGACCCTTACCCTTTTCAATGCTTTCTTATGGACGTTCTGCACGCCGGATGCGAATTTTGCATCCAGCGTCGCAGAAGCGCCTCTAGTGGCTTTCAAGAAGACAGCTACTACAGGTTCGATTAACCCTGCTATGTAAACATAGCAGTTTCTCTGTTTACATGTGAAGGGTTAAAACCTGAGGGACCTGGCACCCAGACCACTCATTGAGCTGAAGTGGTCTGGGTGACTATAGTGTCCCTTTAAACAATTTACTTATCAGAAGACCACTTTCTCCTAATCCAAGATGGCGGCTGCAAATGGATTATAGCTTTATTGGTCCATGAACAGCCATCCCTTTCCCAAAGGAGACACAAAAAAGAAGGGGGGTCTGGATCCAACAGGAAACACATTAGTTCCAAGATTTACATCTTTGGCATGTTCCCACGCTGAATTCTCCCAGAGGTTAGTTTGTGATCACTGCTTTTAAATGGTTCCTTCACAAACTGAATTCCAGGCCCCGTACCCATTTTTACTGGGACAGGAGCCCAAAACTCAGTACTGTCTGGCAAGAATTGAAAAGCCCACTTTGCCTTCTTTGACATAAAATGAATATATGGATTTGCCAGCAATTTGGATAACACAGTGTATTTTCTATTTGCAGTAGTCAGTGGGTTGTTTTTCATGACAAGTGCACTTTAAATTTAATTTGATCGATACAATGTGATCTGCTGCTCATTGTTAATTAAGTATAATGGCAATTGCCATAGCTCATTGCATTTCCAACATTGGCAATGAGATTATTTAAATTTATACACACACAATGATGAAATCCTTATTTAGAAATACATCAGGATTATTTCCTACCACAGGCTTACTCATTTTGATTGTTATAATTAAAATACTTTCGTCTCTTTTGAAAGAGAGATTGATTAGCATGTGTATTAATCATTCAGTTGGTTATATATGAATTCTATGTTATATAATCCACACATGTTCTATAAAAAATTCTGCACAATGCAGTAATGTATTTAAGAATGCCACTGGAGTGTGATTTTTTTTTTAGGTGCCATATATTATGAGAAGAATTCAGTAATTCAAGGTAAATATCAGCTGAAAAATGTCCGCAGTGAAAACATGTTATTTTTCATTTTAGAAGCCAGGAGCTAGCCATCCAGCTATATAAGTACCATCACTGGTAGCTAATACTCGGTTCTTATTGGTGATGCTTCCAATCATTTCAACAACAACTGGAGAGCCGAAGGCCATCCATTATTTTCATATACTAAGTCTGAACCAGCTTTAAAGGGACACTATAGACACCAAAACAACTTTAGCTTAATTAAGCAGTTTTGGTGTATAGATCATGCCCTAGAGTCTTTTGGTAAATTATCTGCCATTTAGGAGCAGAATCACTTTGTTTATGCAGCCCAAGCCACACCTCTCCGCATGTTACTTATACAGCCTTCCTAAGCACTTCCTGTAAATATATCTAAATATGCATATTTTGTTTAATTTAGAATGTCTTATCTTCTACTCTAATAACCTTTTAGACCTTGCAGGAGCCTCAGGTGTGTAATTAAAGGTAAAATTACAGAGCAGGAGAGAAAAAAAATCTAAAGCAAGTTAACATCTGATTGAAAATGTAACCGTTTTCATTCATGCGGGCTGTGTGAGTCTCAGCCAGGGAGGTGTGGTTAGTGCTACATACACAGAAACCAAAGTGATTTAACTCCCAAATCACCGAAAATTGAGCAGTGACACTGCAGGGGCATAATCTATACACTAAAACTGCTTTATTAAGCCAAAGTTGTTTTGATGCCTGTAGTATCAATTTAAATCTGCCCTGAACTGACAGTCCATTATTTCAGTCACAGTTATATTGATCATTTTCTGATTAATTCATAAATCAAATCCCACTAAGAACTTTAAAAAATATATATATGAAACATTAACTTTGAATTTTAATTCAATGTAGGCTTCTTTGACCAAAATATTGCACAACGTTATAATGAAAAAAATAATGAATCGATTAATCCAGAAATGAAATAAATAAAAATAAGAGTAACAGAACTGTGTGATTTAGATAGGGCTCAAAATTTCCACTTGCCCACTAGCCATTGGCGAGTGTGAAGTGGTGAGTAACTTTTAAGGTCTGGCTAGTAGAGCAGGACTTTAAATGTTAAACCCTACATATAACAGTATTATTTCCACTTCTAGTTGCAATTATTTCAATTAAAAAAGTGTAGACCTGGATTCTTTGAATTTGATTGAAATCTTTGTAATATTTTCTGAATTTCATGATGTTATATTTTATTTATATACTTTTCAGCTAAGAATAATGATAAATATCTGCCTGCAGGCAAAAGTTCAGCTCTGGGACTTTAATGTTATATATTTCCTGCATCATCATTACTTATGAGAATACCTGATTAACAGAAAGCTACATGAAAGCATGATGTCACCTTGAATACCTGGTTCCCTTACAAAGCCACAAGTATTTGTGTAAGGTCTTTAGATGCCTCTAAAGTCATTTTCACCAGCTGCAGAAATGTTGTTCTTTTTTCTAATCAAAGGTACCAGGTACCCATGACAGACAAATGTTAATAAAGTACCTGAACTCGCCAGGGGAGAGGCTGGCCAGGGTTATTCACTAAAGTGAGAATTCAAAATGGATTTCAAAGTATCCAAACTGGAGAAATTCTCTTTACACAGCTATGCTTTCCGTTCGGCTACTCTGGCCTTAAGGGAACACTATAGGGTCAGGAACACAAACATGTATTCCTGACCCTATAATGTTAAAAGCACCATCTACCCCCCGATCCCCACTCCCCCCAAATATATTACAATTTTACATGTACTCAAGTTTGCAGCTGCTGCATCTGCCCCTTATCTGCCTGCTTGGCTGACATCATCAGAAGTGGAGGAGGAGGAATGGCCAGTGGAATTATCACTAAGCTGTAATGTAAACACTGCATTTTCTCTGAAAAGACAGTGTTTGCCTTCAGGCCTTTTGCAGTAATGATTCTACTCACCAGAACAAATACAATAAGCTGTAGTTGTTCTGGTGACTATATTGTCATTTTAAATTTGAAATTCACTTTGAATTTTAACTTCAGGAGTTGGGAGTTAGTATCAAACAGCTAGTTGCTGCTGCTTGGGGATAATGGAAGTCGTAGTGAGTCAACAACTATAAAATCACTTGGGGTTATAGTTTCAAAGAAAAACATTTTCTGTTTAATGTTAAACTTACTTCTGTAGCATTTTGTAATTATGAGGATTAGTGATAGGAAAGATCTGCATGTGTCGCTTTACTCCTTCATGACGTATGAAGCATCAGGATTGTCCTAATATACGCTTTGCCGGTCCCCGTGTGTCCTGAAGGGGTTAACAGTATTTTCCCCAAAAAACTGCCACGTAAGTATTTTAGAAAAATAAGTTAGCTGATTGTGCAGTCTTGGTTTGATTTTGCCGATATTGTGAACATTTTAACCACACAGCAAAATGAACCGTGGCAGGAAAGATTAACCATCTTGATTTTAAATAACTTTTTTTTTTCATTCAATTAACTGAAAATTACATCATAGCCTAATGTCACTTCCTGTTTTCCTGCAGCATTGAGCGGAAATAGTTAGCAGGTAGCTCACAATGAAATACAATTAGCAGTGCTTTTGTATGCCAGGAGTATTTTTTTTTCTTTTTTTTACAGTTTATAAAAGTTCTATTGTTATATTCTATTACTATTGAAATTGGCGATTTTATAAACCCCCACCACAACACCTCCCAGCTTCAAGACAGCGTCCTCTTCCCTTAGATTCACAGAGACACCAGCTCCCACTTACAAACTTCTGGTACCTCTCCTGAGCTAAGCGCTATAGTGCAGAGCTAGCTTATTGACTGATTTCTCTCTGCTAATGGGCAAAGCCCTGGCACCATAACCACTACTATGCACTGTAGTGCTTAAGAGCTTAAAATAGTGTCCCTTTAACTTTTATTATTTTAACAGTAGGGTCCCTGTATTTAAAATAAGTTAAAAAAAAAAAAAAAAAGGGAACAACCTAATGTTAAAAATAAATATATTTTGTTGTTAGAGTGTCTACATAGCTGTTGTATTTTAGAAGTTCTGCAATGCTGCATGGTAATGGGTAAAATCTTGCAATAAGGGGTTATTAATTAAACTGGAGATTTCATAATTTAGGCCCAAAATAGCCTGACTAAAACAACTCAGTTACTTTCCCAATCCAATATGCATATATCTTAAAGATAGTATTTTTATGAAAAACTCTTATTGGCTGTGTTGAAATACCTACCCAGTCAAAAGATATACTGAGACAAAGTAGGGGCAACTGTATCTCAGTATTTTTCCTCCTCATGACATAAAGACGGAGTCACCTTTTGTCAAGCTTGTTTTGTCACCAGTGAGGGCTGCAGGCAAAAATCTCTGCTTAGTGAGGATCCTCCATAGAACTCAGTGCTGTACTGTTATGCATGTATCCACGAGAGTCCAGTGCTGACTTTGGCTCATGGTAACTGAGGAGCCAAGTTCTGAAGAGGATGTGACTAATCAAGATGGCGGTGCCTGTAAGGGACAGGTTCAGGAAGTAAAACTCACCGACCCCTGCTGCCTCTGGACATTCAGCGACAATGTCCCCACCAGGGGTATTTGTATATTATGCACAGACCCCAGACGGTGACAAAGCCACTTTAAAGGAATGCTATAGCCGAGGGGGAAAAACGTCTTCCTAGTGCTATATCGTACTTCTGTTTAGCTTACCCTTCCCCCTTCAATAAAAAAATAAGTTTTGCCCTCCATGTAGCCCTCTCTGCAGTTGTCTTTACAGTGCCTCTTGTTGAGCCAGCTTGTCTGAAATTATTAATACTGATGATCTAAGCCAATCCAGTGCGTGGCAAAATGCCAAAGTTGTGCCAATCAAATGTTCTCTAGTAGAGTCTGACGCGGTTATTTGGAATATGCGCCTCTAGTGGCTGGTGGGAACAGAGCCACTGATGGTGTACTAAACCCTGCAATCATAACATTGCCATATCTATTAAATAGTAATGTTTTACAGTGCAGGTTAAAAATGACCAGAACACTGCACCCATACCACATCATTGAGATGAAGTGGTCTGGGTGCTTTAGTTTATTTTCCTTGTCAATTCTCAGTTTAGCGAGTTAGCCCCAAACAGGATATTTTCAATAAATAGAGAGTTTGCGGCTGTTGCTTATTTAGACACACGTAGTATAAATCATTGTAAATGTCTGGTAACTAATGGAATATAAATTGTTTCAGGTTGTTCTGTAGAACGTTCATTCCACTGTTATCTGGTCATCGCTATACTGGTATTGCATCTGACAGTGTCCTGTAAAACAGGTTCTGCTTACATTTACCATAGATCTGGTAGAATAAATGTATTCATTTTTTGCAGAGAAAAAAAATGGGGGAAAACATTCACAGAGCTATATACTAAAAGGAGAATTCAATGTGAATTTAAACAGACACTGAAGGCATCTAGACTATTTCATCTCATTGAAGTGGTGTGGGTGCAATGGCCATATCCCCATTATGCAATATTTACACGGAAGGGTTAAGACAGCCACTAGAGGCGCTTGGAATGTTACTCCATGAAACAACGTTGGATGTCCTAATGCTATGCATGAGGGTGTCCTGTGTCTTCAACAGCCCCGTATCAAAGCATCGATTCAATTATATCCTATGGGGAAGCTGTAATGCGAATTAGGTTCCCTCATTGGCATGACATCACAGGAAGTGGAGACGGATCCAGTGCTGAGTTCAGCGTTAAAAAAGTTTTTAACCCTTTCAGCACAAGCGGGGGGTGTAGAGGCACAGGAACACTATTGCATTAGGAATACAGTTTTGTTTTGCTAACATTATATTGTTACTTTAAGGCCAGAATAGCCAAACTGAAAGCATTACTAACTTAGAGAATTCTTTAATTTTGGCTATTTTGACCTTAAAGGACCACTATAGTGCCAGGAAAACATACTCGTTTTCCTGGCACTATAGTGCCCCGAGGGTGCTCCCACCGGGCTCTGGGGAGAGGAAGGGGTTAAAATCTTACCTTTCTCCAGCGCCGGGCGGGGAGCTCTCTCCTCCTCCATAGTGACGTCATCGGCTGAATGCTCGGCAGGAGCCGCGCGCACATTCGGCCAGTTTATAGGAAAGCATTTACAATGCTTTCCTATGGACACTGGCGTCTTCTCACTGTGATTTTCACAGTGAGAAGAACGCAAGCGCCTCTAGCGGCTGTCAATGAGACAGCCACTAGAGGCTGGATTAACCCTATTATAAACATAGCAGTTTCTCTGAAACTATGTTTATTAAAAAAAAGGGTTAACCCTTAACCCTAGCTGGACCAGGCACCCAGACCACTTCATTAAGCTGAAGTGGTCTGGGTGCCTATAGTGGTCCTTTAGATTTGAATACACTTTGAATTCTCACTTTAGTGACTACCCAAGTAAGTTATTTAAAAATAATTTGCTTAAAATTTCAGATGATTCTTAAAAAGGAGTTTGGTTTTGCCTCTATAAAATGAGCATATAATATTTTTTTTTTTTTTTTTTTTTAAGTAATGGCTCCTTTGGTGACACTATAGGTACCAAAACAACTTTAACTTAACAAAGCAGTTTTCGTGTATATAATAGATCATGCACCTGCAGTTTTACTGCTCAATTCACTGTCATTTAGGAGTTAAATCACTTTATTTATATAGACCTAGTCATATCCAAGTACTTCCTGTAAAGTGAGATGTAATGTTTATACTTCCTTTATTGCACAGTCTGTTGAATTTAGAAAATGTTTTATCTCCTGCACTGTTAATTGCTTGCTAGACATTGCAGGAGTTTTCTGTGCATGTGATTAAAGTTTAATTTACAGAGCATGCAATAGAAACCTATAAAGTAAGTTAACATCTGAAAATGAAACTGGTTGTTTTTTTCATGCAGGCTGTGAGAGACACAGCCAGGGGAGGTGTGGATAGGGCAGCATGGACAGAAACAAAAGTGATTTAACTCCTAAATGGCAGAGAATTGAACAGTGAGACTTCAAATGTAAGATATGTGCACCAAAACTACTTCAGTAAGGTAAAGTTGTTTTGGTGACTACAGTGTCCCTTTAAAGGGATACTCCAGACACCCAGACCACTTCTGCCCATTGGAGTGGTCTAGGTGGCAACTCCCACTACCCTTCTATCTAGACACATAATATTATAAAGAGCTTATAAAGAGACACTACAAATTTAACAAATATAAAGCCTATAGGTACACTATGATACAAATGTTATGATACAACGTACAGAATGCAGGTGAGATCATGAATGGGCAGCTGTGTAAATGTGAATTCATGCAGTGTATCATATAATGGCAACATTATAACACAATAATGGCTACATTTAGACAGATGGCTGAGAAGCAGTACTCTCACCTGAATGCGATGTCATGAAAAGCTGACAGTTACACAGCCAGATCCCATCTGCCCATCAATCCCTAAAATGTAACTCAAAGAAACATTTGCTCGGTATAGCTGAGCTATATAAATCTCTTTTCAATGGACAGTAAAGTCGTAAAAGAATAGTTGCTAATTTCACAGTCATATCAAACTATGTGTTGTCATTCGAGCAAGTCTGCTATATTCCCCTACTGATGTATAAAGTCATCTCACTATGCAACGATGCCTCTACGTGTCACACTTCTGACTGTATTTACAAAAACATTTGTTTTTGTGGCTTCGTATTACTAATGAAATGTTATGATAAACGCTAAATGTCTTATATTGCTAATGTAGCAGACATGTCAAAGTAACAACACAGTTATATGACCATTAATAAAGGCATTACTTTTTTTTGTCCATGCTAAGTCATACTGTATGTCGTATTATTATAGCCATTTATATAGCGCCAACAGATTCCGTAGCACTTTACAATATTACGAGAGTGGGGTATTTAACTATAAATAGGACAATTACAAGAAAACTTACAGGAACGATAGGTTGAAGAGAACCCTGCTCAAACGAGCTTGCAGTCTATAGGATCACTGCTATATTGGTCTGAGTTATATACATGCAATGTTAAATGTTTTAGGATTTAACAGACATCTATGAAAATTTATTTTGATGATTTTTGAGTTGCAAGTTTACATTTAAATATTTTATGAAATATCAGGCTCAGTCTGCTATTAGTAGCTAAGTGTTCAAATGTTTCTCAGAACTATCTTCAAATATTCCAGTTTAAAAAGCCTTTTTTGCCAAAAGTATTACAGGTATATTCTCGGAATATTGACTTAATCTTGTCTGTGTACAAATGTAAGCCTGACTGAGTTGTGCTTGCCACCTCTTGAACCCTGTCTAATTTGTTTCAGTCTCATGATTAAATTTAAAGAGCTGCGGGCTATGTTGGCACAATATAAATTTTGATAGTAATAATATATTCACAATGCTGATCAAATATTAACCATACTCTGCAGAACTTTATGCATTTTATACATTTACACAGATATTACCACAACAGAAACATCTTTTTCAATATTGAATTAACTTGTTGTTTGCAGAGAACTGGTCTTCAAAATTTTTGGTCAAAAGAAGAACTGGAGAATTTTTAGATACAGTTTGATTTTTTTCCACTAAGTGTCAACTCACTTTTAGTATATAGTATTATTTATAGATAGCCAACATATTCTGCAGTGCTCTACAGTAGATCATAAGTTATATGTGCAAATATATAATAGGAATTTGTTTTACTAACGGCAAAAAAAATTGTACTAGTCCACCGTTGGCCTTATTCAAATCAAAATGGATATTAATTATCATATTTATCATTTATAATCTGCTATATTTTCCTACTCATCCGTGGAGAGTAGGATAGTAGAATTATACTTATATATATATAACATAATACAGACAGAAAATAGCAAAACACTTTTAAAAGAACACTATAGACACTATAACCACTTCATCTAATTGAATTGGCTTTGGTCGCTGGAGTCCCCTGGTACCTTCCCACAGTTCAGTGTTGAACTGTTCTTGATTAGATTGACACTGACTGACGGCACCCAGCTTCCTGTGGCTCCACCCCCCTCAACCCTCACCCCCATGGAACTATTGTTAATGCAAAGTATAACTCGCCACTGGATATACCACAGTTAGGCCGACTTTAAACAGTTGATACACACTGTCATTCACTGCTGCCGATCTCTGATCTGATTAATGCCAAAATGACAGAGAAGGGCCAGGCTACAGGTGATGGGATTTACTGTTAACTTGATTGAAAATGGTTTAACAATAAATAGTGGGACTTTACCAGCAGACTCCGTGAACCACAACCACTTCAATGAGATGAAATTGTTATGGTGCCTGGAGTGTCCCTTTAACAGTTACAATTATACCAAACATAGTGCACTTATATGTATAGCAACATTGCTTTAAAAATATGCAGGATGTTAGGGTAAGACCTGTTTTGATATACACTCATGCAGTGTACTATGTCTGTACCATAAGGTCTGTATTCTGATTTTCCTTGGACCTTTTAATAGTGACACTCATGTTACTAGGTAGCTGTGTGTAGGCAGTAATTCTGTGCGTCCATTGTGATATTGGTTCATTTATCAATGAGTGTTCTAGCTGTTGTACACTGGTTGCCAATGGAAACTGCCTTGTAACCCAGTAACTAGTCATGGCAGGCGATGAGATTGGTATTAAAATGGGCGATAGTACTTTTAACAAGTTCTGAAGAAGTAAGGACATGGAATTCACATTACATAACGCTAAACAATGTTTTATATTTTTCCTTCAATAACTCATTGATGTATGTTACAGCTGCAGAACAAGATTGTATTTGCCCTTTTTGGCCTTACTTACTGTATCACTCTTACATAAACTAATTGATGCCCTCTGCCGAGAACTGATTGGGCTTCGGAGAAGGGACATTTCTTGGTAGAAGCAGATTCAACATCATCTTAATAGGTTAAACATCCAGTGCCAAAATCCTAGAAGGACAGTTATTGTAGATACCACAGATACCATTACACAAACAAACTGTCTACTGCATGAATTGGGAACACTGTGTCCGTCATCAAGAGGTTCCACATCAAGGACAATTCTCATGATCCCTTTATCGCTGCAAGGGATTTCAATGTGTTACTAACCCTGACTGTTGAAGGGGTTAATAGATTGCAGGCAAGGGCTGCTCGACCGACTTATGTGTTTTGAGTGGCTCCACCTTGTAAAGTGGTTTCTGTTTTAAATGTGGTTTAAAAATAAATACATTTTCAAATATCTAAAATCTGAACTCTTTATTGTTCTGAAGAAGAAACACGTGGCATGACCACTAACGTTTTCTAAAGTGTGGTTGTGAATAGTACTCTGTGTGGCTGGTGGCATTTGTTTAGATCAGGCTTCCTCAAACTCCAACCGTCCAGATGTTACTGAACTACAACTCCCATGATTCTATGAATGAAATAGATAGGCTGAGAATCATGGAGTTGTAGTTCAGCAACATCTGGAGTTTGGGGGAGCCTGGTTTAGATTAACACCAAAATATAATTACTGGATAACAGAATTCAGAAATTTGGGCTAAAGTTGTTACTATTACAGAGTAGAATCCTTTTAATTTTTTTGCCTAAATGCTGGGATTTTTTTTTATTTGAATATATTACAATTCCCGCCTAATAAATCCTATGTGGTTACTTAGTAACCCATAAATTTAGGCCACAATAGCAACATTGAATACGTTGTCCAATTCAGCTGTCCTAACTTTGTCAATTCACCAAAATTCATTGTTTAGGGAATAAAGCCCCTAGTGTTACTGAATGGTGTATCATATAGGGGAACATAACGAAAAATATGCAGATCTCTATATAGGCTATAATGCTTGCCAATGGATGTATTTCCCTTAAAATAGAATGGCAAGACTTAAATCGACACCTTTTCACCATAGATGCACTGGACTCTCTGCCTGATGATCTCAGACAATCCAATGCTTTCTCCTATTGAATGCATTGGGAGGCTATTGTGCATGCGCAGCAAAACACGCTGTGCCAATCAGCATCTACTCATGCATGACGAAGCTGAACGTAGACTAGGAAGCACCTTTAGTGGCCGTCTGAGTGACTGCCACTAGAGGTGTTACTAGGCAGTAATGTAAACACTGACTTTTCTATGAAAAGGCGTTAACAGTGCTAAGACTGCAGGGACATGCTTTAGACACAATAACCACTACTTTAAGTTGTAGTGGTTATGGTGATTATAGTGTCTCTTTAATGAAGTGGTTTTGAAGTACAGGTCATGCCCCTGCAGTAATTTTGTTTTTTTTCACAGGTCTTGCCACACTTACCCTGGCTGTGACTCACACACTCCTTATACACTTCCTGAAACATCATTTTAGCTTTTACTATTATGCAATGTTTTTAATTTAGAATGTCTTATCTACTGCTCTGTTAATATGACTCTGTCACAAAATGCATCCCCCCGCCAAGTCTGTCTCCCTCTAGCTCCCCCAACCCTTCAACCAACAACCAGGGACGTATCTTACATGAGGCAAGCAAGGCATCTGCCTCGGGCGGCAAAAAAAGCTGCTCCCAAACGCCAAGGCAGATCCCTTGCTTGCCTCGTGTCCTGGGGGGCTCAAGAGCTGGCCACTTTTGAGCCCCCCCCCCCCCGAGTCTGGCAGCAGGCAGCGAGGGAGCATACTCACCTGAGCTCTCCCTGCTCAGCTCCCTCCGTGCCGCTTAATGAACCTGCAATAACTGCATGTGTGTGAGTAAAGTTCAATTAATAGAGCAAGAGATAAGAGCTTCTAAAGTAAACACACTGTGCTGTAAGACTTGATTGAAAATGCTGGCTGTGTCAGTCACAGTCAGGCATGGTGTGGCTAAAACAGCATAAACAGAAACAAAAAGTGGTTTAATGCCTAAAAAGCAGATAATTCAGCAGTGAGACTTCATAGTTATGATCTGCACACCAAAACTGCTTCATTACGTTAAAGTTGTTTTAGTCCTTTGAGTATTTCTTTAAATTAACCCTATAGTGTTAGCAAAGCTGTATTCCTAACAATATAGGAACCCTCTGCCCATCCTCCTTCAACATTATGCCTTCCCCATAGGAAAGCATTGAATCAATAAGCATTGAATCAATGCTTTCCTATGGGAGATTCAAAAACGTTGCATGTCTTCATGCACAGCATGAGGACGCCCAACATCATTTCACAGAGTGAAACTGCCGGAAGTACTTCTAATCACTCGAGGCAGTCTTAACACTGTAATGAAAAAATTGAAGTTTCTCTAAAACTGCAATGTTTTACATTACAGGGCTAAGGGGAGAGGGACACTGTACCACTACCTATAGTGTCCACAAGGCTGGCACTACAGACAGGCGAACTAGGCAGCTTAGGTAGGGCACACCAACCTGTGGGGTGCAATCTCTGAGTGACTAGCAGGGGAGAAAGAGACAGACAGAATTGGCCATTTTTGTTTTGGGGGTTGCAAGTAGATGGTCTTGCCTAGGGCACAAAATAGTGTAGCACCTTCCCTGAGTGACCCTTTTATAAATTATAATGATTCCACGTGAGGATCAATCGCTCATGTCAATCTAGAATCTAAGAGCAGTAAACGTTTAATATACTAATTACATTTTAAAGGGATTCTATAGTGCCACGAAAAAAATCCTACAGTGCCCCCTCCCCTTCAGTCACTCACCTGAATCCAGCACCGATGTCACTCGGTGCTGGGTTAGGCTCCGCCCATGCTCATCCCCCGCCGACGTGGGAGGCACAATGCGCATGCACAGCAATGGCCGCGCTCGTGTTTGTATCTCCCCATAGGAAAGCATTTTTCAATGCTTTCCAATGGGGAAAATCTGACGCTGGAGGTTCTCATGCAGAGCGTGAGGACGCCCAGCGTCAGATAACAGACCAAAGGTCCATTTGGATTCAGGAAGTCCCTCTAGTGGCTGTCTAGTAGTCAGCCACTAGTGAAGGCGTTAACCCTGTAAAGTTTCTCAGAAACTGCAATAATTACCACTGTAGGGTTAAGGGACATGGGACATTGCACCCAGACCACTTCAATGAACTGAAGTGGTCTGGGTGCCTACAGTCTCCCTTTAGTGTGAATTTCACAGGCCACATGTGTCCTACTACATACAGACCTCAGAATTATTTTCTGTTGCATCTCCTGAGTAAAGAAATACCCCACTCTGTGTTTGAGGAACATAGGGTCAAATTAATGACACGTACCAGATACATCAAACATCACAAAGAGGTTCAGTCTGTTCTTCTTAGAATATGTATGAGAACTACATGTATGAGCACTATATGTATGAGCACTATATGTTTGAGCACTACATGTATGAGCACTACATGTATGAACACTATATGTATGAGCACTATGCTAAGGCAGTTTACCATAAGCCAACCACCCAGCCAATGGGGGTTGTTCGACCAGTCACCCTATATTTCGGTTTGCTGTTGTTACCTTTTTAAATAATGCAGTGGGTGTGGGGCATCCATTGTGCACCCCCTCCCCTGTTGCTTGATCATGACTCCAGTTATGCATATACAGGTTTATACATACACTAAGTATGAATTCTGGTACGTAGTATAGAATATCCGTTCCATGTATCAAAAGTTCAAGTTACCTTTAGTAAAGGAATACATGTAAGCCCACCTTTATACACCAAACAGTATAATGGTAGGTCATATAAAAAAAAATAAAAGAGGAAAGAGAAAGCAAATGCCAGATGTTTTTTTTTCTGAACTCAGCACTTTCTTTACAGTCTCCCTCAAGCCTCAGGGAAGGCTGCTGTAAAAGCACCTTGTTCAGCTCAAAAGGCATAGCTTTTTCCTCCCTTTCTCTGTCCCCTCATCCCATGGTCTGTTACGACATGAGCTGCTGTGCAGTAATGTTTTTTGGATTTTACCTGCCCAAGGCCAAGCCACATTTTATGTACACCAATATACAAACTCTCTTTCACACACACACACACACACACACATTATGTACACTAATTTACACACACACACTCTCTCTCACACACACATATTATGTACACTAAGTTACACACACACACACATTCTCTCACACACATATGTACACACACACACACACACATTCTCTCACACACGTATTATGTACACTAATTTACACACACACACTTACACACATTCTCTCACACATATTATGTCCACTAATTTACACACACACACACACATTCTCCCACACACATTATGTAAACTAATTTACACACACACACATACCTACACACACACACACACACTCTCACACATATTATGTACACTAATTTACACACACACACACATTCTCTCACACACATATGTACACACACACACACACACTTACACACATTCTCTCACACATATTATGTCCACTAATTTACACACACACACACACATTCTCCCACACACATTATGTAAACTAATTTACACACACACACATACCTACACACACACACACACACTCTCACACATATTATGTACACTAATTTACACACACACACACATTCTCTCACACACATATGTACACACACACACACACACTTACACACATTCTCTCACACATGTTATGTACACTAATTTACACACACACACACACACACACTCTCCCACACACATATTATGTACACTAATTTATACACACACACACATATTATGTACACTAATTTACACACATTCTCCCACACACATATTATGTACACACACACACACACACACATTCTCTCACACACGTATTATGCACACTAATTTACACACACACACACGGACACACACTTACACACATTCTCTCACACATATTATGTACACTAATTTACACACACACACATTATGTACACTAATTTACACACACACACACATACCTACACACACACACTCTCTCACACATATTATGTATACTAATTTACACACACACACACTTACACACATTCTCTCACACACATATGTACACACACACACACTTACACACATTCTCTCACACATGTTATGTACACTAATTTACACACACATTCTCCCACACACATATTATGTACACTAATTTATACACACACACACATTCTCTCACACATATTATGTACACTAATTTACACACATATTATGTACACAAACACACACACATTCTCTCACACACATATTATGTACACTAATTTACACACACATTCTCTCACACACATATTATGTACACAATTTACACACACACATTCTCCCACACACATATTATGTACACTAATTTATACACACACATTC